AAAATGCAACAGTGACCGGATAAGACGCGAGTTCCTTCTCCATACAGAAGTCCTAATGAGGGAAGAAAAAAAAAGAAGATCTGTGGCAAAATGAGATTTTATCTAGTCCAGAAATGAACTTTCGAAAAACTAAATCCAGGTGAGGATTTTCAGTCTGCTGAGTGTCGTGTGGACTGTTTTTTTGTTTGCGACGTGGCTGAAACCAGTAGCACAAACAGGCCGCCGCAGAGTCTCTGATTGCATGGCTCTGCTTGTGCAGCTGGCATGAGACGTGAGGGGCAACCAGTCCAAGCAGTCCAACACATGACCACCGCGGCCACAGTGAGGCGATGGCGAGAGCACGGGTGGGGGTGGGGGAGCACTCTTATCCAGACAGGAGGGAGGAGAAGCGAGGCGAGGGGAGGCGGTGACAAAGTTGTGCAGAAGAAAAAGACGACTTTGGCAGAACATTCTTAAAGCTTTGCTGGGTGATGATTGGCTGATTGCCCCCTCTCCCATTTCCTGTCACCGACACAGACAGCAGGTACACTTCATTCACTTATTTGACAATATTTACACTGTACTGACTCTAAGGAGGAGTGCAGGTGTTGAGCAGTTAGACAAAACAAAGAGGAAACACGTCATCATTTGGAGGGCGTGTCTCGTTTACAGCCAACGGACACGTGTCGGGAAGAGGAAGTGATGTCACCAGCGCTCTTAAGTTCCTTCTCTCTTCCCGGAAACAGTTTCTGAAAGCTGTTAGTCGCATATAAAACGGTGATGACCTCCACAGCTGCAGCTGTGTCCCTCCACAGGCTCCGCCTCCTCCAAGATCTGAATTTCATGACCACAAAAACAAACAAACTGTGGTCCAGGGCCGGATTGAAACTTCTTAGGGTTCTTACAGACAAGTCCCCCTTTACCCCCAATATGTAACCATGCACATTAATGCCTCAAGTAAATTCATAAAGCTCCTGCTGTACCTGGATGTTGTAATAAATATTAACTCTACAAAGTGAAGCCTCACCTTTATCAGTTTAACCAGTGACCGAGTCCTGAACACAAAGCCAAGTCGCTGTGGGCTCAAATACATTCAGTCTAACCTGGTTTGGGCAGAGCGCTAAATTTTAGAGCTAACCAGACCACGCCTTGTGACAATTTTGGACGAGGGCTCAAAGACTTACAGCAACACTAAGATTACCTAAAGCTTGACTTAGAGTACAGCACTGAATCCACACTCCATCCTGATGTGCACGACACAGGATTGGTCTACTCGGTGGTACCAAAGTCTTTCTTGAAGCAACTCACAGAACTCGTTATCCTGCAAGCCCTTACATGGGCATTTATTTTGAAAAAACAGCTTAAAAAGTCATTTTTCAACTTTGCCCCAGAATAAGATTTTCAATAAAGAAGTTAGACTTGTCCCACGATTCTTTCTCTCTCTGTCGCCTGTGTTTGCTGTGCATACACTGTAAAACCCATTGATTAGCACTCTGTTAATGCCTCTGTTGAACCAAATGTAATAGGCTGTGATTGTATCTAGTGCGATCACAATGCTAATGCAATGGCTGGTATTCTGCCAGTGTACATGGCATTTTCTCATTTTTACAGCTCAGTTCCCTTCTTCCTGCTTTAAAGTAAAAGTAACTGTTGTTCAGAGTCCAACGTGAGCAGCTCAGCTAGTAAAAGCAAAGATGGCCGCTCTGGGGTTTGTGGCAATTCAATGCAGAACTTCAAATTAAGCTTAAAGCCTTTGACCTTGAGTCTGGGAGGTCAGAGCTTGCTTTGTGATTTGGTCTGTCTCTGTACTGACTACAACTACATGGAGCTTACTTTCGGAGGTTTTTCTCGCAGAGGGGTTGGGAAGTCAATTTGGACAAAGGTGGGCGTGCCTTCACGGACCACGGCCCCTTCAAAACGGAGGCGGAGCATGACGTGGGACACAGCTTTGATCCTCTTTAAAGTCATCAGCTCCGACACCTGCAAGCTGGAAAACAGCATCAATCCACTCATTCAAAGAAATCAGTCGCTGTAGCTTCAAAGCAGAGAAACAAACAAACCCAGAGGTTGGATAAATAATTATACACTCCCATTTAATGTTTGATACAGTTAGCTGATGCATTTTCTGAACTCTAATGGAGTTGGATAACTGCGAAAAATCACTTAAGGTGTAGTGTGTCACAACATCTCAGGTAAAGTGATTATACTCATGTAAAAGGGGGCTGATGGGACTAGACTGTTCAGATTCCAATTGATTGGGCGACAGGAAGTAAACAAGTCACTGCAGGTTTCTGAGCCCTAACGTCAGGTGACCAAGACGACACACGTGGCAGAAATATTTAGAGAGCTGTAAAAAGACAGAGTCCACGGTAGGTTCATCTCATTCATGTACGGTACTGTCACCAAACTCTTCAGCCTATACATATATATTCATATATCTCCAAAATATTAAAAAGTACTTAATATAAAAATACAGAAGAATTGTAAAAAATGAGCAAAACATTGAATTTTATATGAAAACCATGCAAGAAAGATTCCCCATTTAGTTAAATAGTAACTCTAAGATTCAGGAAAACAAGGGAGTGAAAGGGAAGTGGTCGGATGAGAGAAGCGCAGACGAACTGCCACCGACTCGCTTTTCATGTAAACATTGTAGAGGTCCTTTTAACTTGGTTCGGCAGTGACGACTGAAGATTTTTCTCCTTGTTTTTTTTCTTCTTTTGTTTCTTTTTTGGTCGTGTTTGAAGTAAAAGGGCCAGGGGAGGAGAGAGGGTGTGTGCTGGGACGGGGTTAGAAAGGGTGAGGGGTGAGAAAGTCCAAAGCAAACCTCGATAACAATGAGATTTTAAAAAAAAAAAATCAATACAGACAACCTATAAAATATGGCTCTGAGTTACATAGAAAAAGCTCATCAGTGGGGAAACCTAGTCATGACAAAAGTTGGAAATATGGCAGTAGTAGCACATTACTTCAATAACGTGTCCTAGTTCAGAGATAGGTTGATGGCTGCTAGTCAGACTAAGAGGGGATTAGACGCACCGCTGCTTCTGATTGGAGGATGAGTCTTTCTTCTTTTAAGACAGTAATCTGCAGACAAGCAGGAAGTACTAAGCGGCAGCAGGAACACAGTGGATTTTAATCTATGGGCTGACTGGTGACATCATCAGTCTCCCGTAAACCTCAGCATGGCCGCCACACTGATGCCTGCCAATCAGACACAGCAGAGAAGAGAGCAATGATGTTGATGGTGAAGATCAAACATCTTCTCCGCTCCTGGCTGTGTGATGTCACTGACAGCTGATTTAAGTTTATGTTATAAAGTTATAAAGTCTGAGAAAGGAGCTAAGATTTGTCTTAAACACAGGCAGACGGTCCAGACGCTGTTTAAAGCTCCATTTACTTCCTGTCTTTACCCCAAAAACAGACTTGTCAGCGGTGCAGTCGTTTTCTGTTTAACACGCGTTTAAACTCACTTCTTTTACCAGCGCCACAGTCAGACTGCAAAAATGTGAGTGACACCAACAGATGTGAGCTGCCCGTAGGCTTAAAATGCTTCAGATTCACTGATAGCAAAACTAAACTTTGTGGCAAGCCTACATTCTGTATCGACCTGTATCCCCATGTGATGTCTGTGTTGTGTGTGTAAGGTCGGGGGGGGGGGGGGGGGGGGGGGGGTCCCATTTCACTGCAGGGCAACCTGCACGTGGCGAATTAAGCCTTGATTGATTGATTGATTGACATTCATGGGTCCAAACATGAAGCACTAAGAGTACAATCTGACCTCTGACAGAGACGATCTTTAAGAAATGGGTAGAAGACTAAATAAGATTTGAAATGCTTTACCTAAACTTTTCCTTGAACAAACTAAAAGGTTAATACTCCTTCATCCTCTGAAGGAAATGTTTACTCTTTAAGCAAATACCCTAAGAAGTTAGTTGTGATCAATTGTAACTTGCTGATGGTGGGCGGGTTTTGTCTAATACGAGCCTGTCGGAGTGTAGAGTGAGGAGACACAAACGAGAGTTACAGTTTTCACACCTATCGGTATGCAAACATCTGCTTGGGAGTGACATAAATTTGGTCAGCAAAGGGTCACGTCCCTGTGCCCGGTGTATCGAGAGGACAACCGTGATTCCTCTCAGAGGAAGAGCACCGACTTAACCTCGGTGTCCAGGTGCGAGTATTACAAGACCAGAGATGAGAATGCATGTGTTTTAGTCTGTCTCTATCCATGTATTACTATTTTGATTGTATTCAACCTCTCCTAGCTGAAAGCATCTCTGTGCACAGCTGCCGACATGAGATTGGAGTGGGCCGGTCGCAGCCACGTGGCGAGCGAGCGACACGGTGGGGGTCGAGCAGTGGAAAAAACAGGCTGCAGCTTTTGTTTGTTGTCGTTGGCCCTCGGGGCTTTCCGTGTGTGTGGCGACCTCATCTTACCAGCGATACCTGTGTTGTGACAACACCGAGACAGACATTGGATTTCAGGGCTTTGTGACTTCGCATTACCCCGATACCGAAACTTTTATTGCACTCGCCTACTCTGAAACACACGCGGACGCCGGGGTATCGATTGTGTTAAACACCCTGATGGTTTCCTCTGCCAGAATATCGATGAGGCTGCCGTGGTAACAGGAGGTTCAGTCCTACAGACAGGAAGCTCATGGAGCTCTGAACAGACGCTGCTGCAGACGCACAAAGTTGAAACAGAATCCCGAATATTCATTCCTACTGTACGTTATCATGCGACTCAACACGAATTAAACAAAAACATGCATCCTACTAGAGACGGAAAACATGAACCACACTCCCGTTTCCTATCCTCACAGGGGACAAACTGGGGGAGGGGCAGAGAGAACCAGAACCCTGACTGGATGAGATGAGGTCAGAACCCCCACTGAGCAGAAAGCGAGCCCCCTCCAGACGCTGCCGTCTTCAGTATTTTTGGGTAGTAAACATTCTGTTCTTCCACATGCAACACAGCAGCTAAAAAAAAAAAAAAGCAACACATACAGACACGATAAAGGGAAAAACATTATTTTAACCTTGAAAGCTGTAGTGTCACACTCACAAGACATTCTCAGGAGTCTGAATCAACCATCGATTGACATTCGTTAGAAGGTTTCAAAAAGAAATCAAGATCAAGGTCTAAAAAAACAAACAAAACAAAACAAAAAACAACAATAATAATAATAAGGTTACATTTTTGCATTTGCCTAAAAATCTTCTGATCAACAAACCCGGCTTATAGCTGTGTAGAAGAGCGGAAGCGTATGTACATCTGATTCACTGCACTCTTTGAAAAGTTCGGTGCCGTTTGAGAACGCAGGAATGAAGCGAGTACAGAACACAACATGCTGCTGCTGCGAGTCCTGCAAGGATCGAATCCAATAAAGTTTAAAAGCTTTTCAAAAAGAATGTCAAGTTAAAAAAAACAAAAAAAGGAAGAAAAAAAACAAAACATGAATGGACTAGAAGAGGCCTTCCACTGTGGAGACTCTATCAGACTTACAGGCAGAACGACGCCACAGTCAGTATGAAAAACACAACGTGGCAGGAATGACTGAGGGGGGGGTGGAGACGATGTGAAGCATGTGTGTGTGCAGAATGAGTCATGACTCCCTTCCTCGGTGTGACAGTTCGGTTGGTGGGGTGACAGATGATGCTGATGAAGAGGAGAGAGGAGGAACTCAGATGGATTAATCGAGGTTGAGGGGGAAGGTGGTGGGCAAGTCTTCTCCTCCCCGGATCAATGATGAGGAGCTGGGGAGGGGGTCGATTTCGTCTCCAGTCTCCTTAATGGTGGGGATGCGAGCCTCCTCCTCCTCGGACAAGGGCACGAACTCAGGATGGGCCATGAAGTTGTGGATGGAGCTACGGGACTCTGGGCTCTCCAGCCCCGCGTACAGGGAGCTACGGAATGCATTCACCACCTTAATCTGAAACAAAGAGAGGAAACAAACGTCAGAGGAGGTCTCGTAGGTGGGCAGCCATTTCTACACAAACAAAAACAAAACTGGCAGCAGGGGCTGATGGGACACGTGGCGGTCGTGCGTCTGAATCTGGGCACGGAAATGAGAAAAGAAAAAAAACACAACGAGTGGAACAGCTGAATGAGAACACGGTTGGAAAGCTGAAAATATCCACAAAACATCAACGCAAAAAAGGTCAATGCTGGAGGCAGCTCATAGCAGGAAGTGCATCAAAAAAAAACACACAACAAAAACAAAAGCATCATCAGGGAGTCACATGTGGAGAAGCACTGAATCACAATCACCACAGTACGCACACCTGCACACAAGCACACAAGCACACACGTCTGCAGAGAGAGTTCGATTGATGCTTTCTCTACATCTATAATTCTGCTTTTTAATATCTGACAGTTAAATATTGATACGATGTGTCCAAAAGTCTGTGGACACCTTAGTTACAGTTAAACTGGGTTCTTAATGTATGAGCACATCGACAAAAGAATGCATCATCACATGTTTTATCTTTCTACACACGAACTTATGCATAGTTAACTTTTAGCCATCACAGCCGACTTAACCTTAACAAAACCGCCACTGTAACCGTCACTTCACTAACATTCGAAAACCCCATTTAAACCAGCGCAGATCTCACAATTAGCAATGTTAACTAAATTTATCTGATGTGTTCATTTATCCCTGAGCTGGCACTCAGTCATCAAAACTTCCTGACAGAAGACGCTGCATGTTATCAACCCGCTCCCCCACTCGTCTAGCTCCAGATGTCGAAGCTGTATGCACTCCCATTCAGCCACTGCAGTATTAATGAGGACGGATGCTGGCGCTGGGTGATGAGGCCTGACACACAGTGGGTGTTGTAGTTCTTTCCAGAGTGGATAGATTGGGGCTGGGCTCTGTTCCCCCCCTTTCTTTTCTACCAAACTGGAAAAATATTTACTAATAATTCTTTTTGTACATTGGGGAATCGTCACATTGTGTCACACTGAAAGAGTAATAGGATTACCTGAAACGTAATACAGACTACAAACATATTTGTTTTCAGATTTTCTCTCACTGGAAAGCAGGGGCTAACACCAGGACAAACGCACTCATACTACATAATACAGTAAAGGGTGTGAATGGTTTTGATTCACCCAGCCTTCGTGATCTCATACCTGATGAGAGATCACCCAAAACGACTCAAAAAACACATGCAAGTCTTTCGTTACATTTGTAAGAGATCAGTCTCTGAGAATGAATTCCTAAACTGAACCTTAAAAAATTTAAGCACAGTATGAAATGCATCTGTGGAGCTATTTGTTTAGACAAAACTCTTATTCTGCTGCCCAGTTTTAGATGACAAGTTTGTTAAATAAAAATTATACTGTAGGGGGAAAAAAAAGGCATAATCACGAACACAGAAGCGTCTTTATTTGTATGGTGCTTAAATAGCTGATTAAAATTTCAGTTTCAGTAAATTTGTATTATTTTTAAAGCCATGAACCAATCACAGCGCTTCCCTGCACTGGGCAGCCTGAAATCACAAACCAAAAATATGTTTCCAATCAATAACTAATTAATAAATATGTCCAGTAAGGACAATGAGTGACGGGTGGCGGGGGGGGGGGGGGGGGTTTCAGGTTCAAGCAATACAGCATCGCCTCGCATGATTATAGTCCCAAAACGGAAAAGCCTGGATCGGATTTGTCTTCTTTGTCTACAAAGAAGGTTTAATTAGCAGGAATGTCCCACAATGTAACAGTGACAGCAACAGTGGCCTAAAAACCCCCAAACATTTTCTTCTGAGAGATTCATTGGATGATTTTTAAATTTTAAACTGTGAAAGCAGTGTCCGCATTCCAGGAAAGTGTAATAAAACCATTTTTGCCACTAAAACCAACAATTAATATTAAATTTTATCCTCCCGAGTCGGTTCCTGCGTGTTAAAAGATTTCCCCAGTGGATGAAAGGGTTACTTTGAGTCAAAAAACGGGCTCCGACTGTGGTTTGTAGCCACTCCAGTTCTTGGCCTGATTGTTGGAAGCTGCACCATCTGTAGTTCTCAGCGCTTACCTGGGAAAGTGAAATCTGGAGGCTTGTGACTGGGAGGTCTAATCTGAATCTGGCTAAAATTTTACCTCAATGCATGATCTCGTCTATGCAAATAAGATATAAATACCATAAACTAACTGTCCTGCAGCAAACTGACTTTCTGGGGTCACTGCTGGTTGGAGGGCACGTTTTACCAACTCGGCTATGATGGCGTCAGCGAGAATACCGAAATATTTCAGCCGATCCCCGACCCCAGTAAACACCACACACATAACAAACACAATCTCACTATTAAGCATTTCTAATCACGTTCCGAGTGAGAATCGTTTTGTCCTCGGCCTGCTCTCCTCTCTCGGCCTAAAGTCGTTTTCTGTGTGATGAATCCGCAGAGGCTGCAGCTGATCACACTGATTTATACGCACCAGTAGACACTCTTCATTATAATTAATAACCCTGCAGTTCAAAGCTCTCTATTACTGAACCACAAGAGAGCTGCAGGCTGAGCTCTGCAGCTTAGAGCATGCATGCAACAACCACAAACACTTGTGCATACACAAAGCTCACAAGTTAAAAAGCTCTTGGCTGTTAAACCACGAGGGAGACTTGCTCAGCCTGACAGATTTAACCCTACACAGGACTAACCCATAAAATTATCTCGATGACCAGGATGTTGCCTCAGAGAAATAGAGGGGGAAAAAAAATCAACAAAGAAAATGGGACGGGGAAATGAGAGCGATTCATCGTCTCTTTCTCTTCTAGTAGGTCACACGTGCCTTTAGTGACTTGTCAGGCACCAAGTCTCATCATGGGTTAATAGATGCATGGTGAGTTTAATTCTTCATGCAGGATGGAAGTGATGGAAGTAATAACAAGAAAAAAAGATGAATATAAAAGCACAGGAAGGTGAAGTGGACAGCACATGGAAGCAGAGAGATGGAAACAGATCAGGTTGTCTGCAGGCTCTCTCAGTACTTTTTTCTCTGGCTTTTACAGTCAAACTGCAGTTCACACTGGTGTCTATTCAAAGCCGTAATGTACATACTGAACACTTTAGAAGGATTTAATAAAACACATTCAGTGTAATTTTTTCTGTACAATAGAGCTGAAAATGTTTGAATGTTCTAGAAATGCTGAACTGAATGAAAGAAACATCTGAATGCTGCAACAAATCATCTAAAAGAATCTTAAACCTTTGTTTCTCACTCGCACCACTGTTCGAATGAAGCAGGGTAACATGAAGCAAATTAGCAAGTTTTAAAGATGTTCACTTTTTCTCCAAATATGCTTTTTAATATCTTGTGATGTTCAGCTCTTACTATACTCACATCTTCAAACTTGTTTACTTATAGATTTCAGCAGCAGCATCACAGCTTTATTTGCGGTTTTAATTGCAGCGATTGCAAACGGAGCTTTTTCACCTCGCTGCTGGTTTACATTTAAAGCTCTCCACCAAACCTTTGGGGGGCTTTTATTGTAAAGCTGCGGTAGACAATACAACTTAGCCACAAGTGTGATTAGAAGAGCTTTCTAAGCTATGCTCCTTGTGAAGGAAGGAAAGTAGAAAAGAAAGAAAAGTTTCTATTTAGTGAGCAGTTAATAAATAACCTAGACACACTCTTCACATGAAAAATTCCAGATCAGTTCAGGGCGTGCAGACACCCAGTTACGACAGCAGCAGTGCAGTGGCTTCAGTGTCGGTAAGTCATGCAACGTTCAAACAGAGGAAAAAAAAGACAGAGTCCAGCCTGGTGGAGCGTGCTGTTAGCTGGCCTCCAGTCACCGACTCACTGCCTGCAGTGGAGGAGGAAGCAGCAGCAGCGGGGGGCAGAGCCCCACCCGAGTTGGTGAGAGAGGAGGAGGAGCTAAGCCCTATGTGGGTGGGGCTAGAGAGAGTTTTGGCAGCAGTGGCGTCATTGTGCTGGCTGACGACGGACGGCTGGCGGCGCAGGGCACCGGGCACCGCCGCCTGGCTCGTCTGGAAGGTATAGACCACATCCATCTGAAGGAAGGACAGTCACAACACACTGTTAGAGAGCAGAGAGAGCAAGAAGACAGCACAGAGGAACAGACTTCTGCAGAGGTTAGAGACAGTGCAGTCTGACCTTTTAATTCATTCGGACGTAAAGAAGAGGTAGTGCAAGTACAGCGATGAAGACAAGCACATCTGATTAAATTACTCAATTTCAGGGTAGTTTACATTTAGTGTTAGCTGGCAGGAAACAGTGCAATGGCATTAGCTGATAAAATGTTGTGCATCAATCTACGATGAGACTCATCTATGTCATGCTTTGCTGCTAACAGCGTGACTGGGACTGTATCAGTCTGAATATGTCACACATTCAGTGGTAAGATTTTAAATTGTCCTGACAAAAGGGTGACGCTATGTTTTCAATGAAAGTTGGCACAGATTCTGAGCCTTTCCCTCTCATACTGACTTGAATTAATCATCCAACCACAAAAATCAAAACTGTAAAAAAAATCATCTGATCAAAACCAACTAATATTTAATTTCATTCATCAAGATCAGTGCCGATGAAATAGACAGATTTTATTAAGTGGATCCTTTCCTTATTTTCTGTCATGTATGTATACACTGATGCTGAAAGGTCATTTTAAACTTTGCAAAGTTTCAAATAATGGATGATTTTGAATTGTGAATCATGGAACGCTTCTCTGTCAGAAGCTGGGTATCTACTGTCCCCACACTGAACAGACTGTATCCAGCATTTAAATTCAACAGTTAGTTTTACTGAAAGAAAGCAAATGGACATTATGGCAGTAAGAAACTTTCTGATTTTTCCATTGAGGTATTTCTTGCATATTTAGTACATTTGTTAAAGAAAAAGCAAAATAAAATATCAAATCTTCCAATGGGATAACCTCTGCAGTCCTTATCTGTGCTGCTGCAATACAGAAAAACTGAGCTACTGACACTTTTAGCAGGTAGAGACACTAGAATATGAAGGAGAAACAAAGATGAGAAAGAGATCAGGACAGAGGAGAAGTTGTAACAGCAAGGAGAAGTTTGAGAGCTGTCATTTAGTGTCAAAATGTGAAAATCCTCTGACAGAACGAAGGGATGAAGAAAGAAATGGAACAGTGAATAAAGAGCTTTTGAATCAGGCTTACGGCACTCTGAGAGAGAGAGAGCTGAGACAGGAGAAAGAGAAATGTGTCATTTGGAATGACTGATAAAGTTTCTGCAGCGAGGTGCTGCATGTAGCAATTATTCCCCCACTGTGTCTGACTGTTGAGGCGTTGAGCGGCACAACACTGCCCACCAGGATTAGAGAGGAAGAGGACAGGAAGAGGAGCGTGGAGAGATAAGAACCTAATTAGCTTGCAGCCTTTCGTCGCCTCCCTCTCCATCATCGCTTCCTCCCATCCTCCCATCCCGAGAGGACAACACTGATATTACAGATACACAGCCCCGAAGAGAAAAAGGAGAGCGTCCTCAGTTCTGTACAGGAGATCCGATGGCAGACAGAGAGAAGTGGAGGAGAAACATCCGCCTTTCACGACACCGATTTACGTGGACCGGGTGAAGATTATCGTAAACCGCACACGTGGATCAGGGTTTTCCGCTCCACCTGAAATCACACTTGCCCTCGCCTGTTCATTTGTACCCGCTCTGAAGCTTTCAATCAGATTATGTGATGAATGAGCATTTTAACCTCTAGACATTTACCAGCTCACCGGTAACACATCGATGGTTAGGGTTTTGTTTTAGCTTCATGCAAAACAGGCACGTTTTAAATGAAGTATCATTTATTAAATTTGATATTACCAGATTTGCCTACAGTTTCTATATGAAACCACCGACTTACTAAATAATTCATTTGTATTCTTACAGTTTTAGTCTGTTTGTGTGATAGATAGTGTATTTTGGATATTTAATAGTCTACTTTCCAGTTTTTTTTCTGAACAGCTGTTGAACACTTTGGCCATCACCTGCTGTTTTAATCAAGGTATAATGTATAACACAATAATAAAAAGGACAAATGATGGAGAAGCACCAGAGCTCTGGATTAAGAAGCTACACTTATTTGTTTTGGTGTTTTATTTGGAAGAGGTCTGGTTTAAAATGAAGTCTTATTTTCTGCCAGTTACAGAATTGAGTGAAGAAGCAGAGAGTCAGTGTTTCTGCAGAGGTCAAACTGAGAAACTCAAGACGACAAACCAGAAAAAATTCGCTATTATTATTCAGACCTGGTTACCCTCTGGCCTCAGTAAGTACAAGCAAGCCCACTGGTAAGAGGAAAACACCTGACCCCGCTGACTCCATGTGTGTGCGCGTGGGAGCGGAGCGATGACTGCTGTTACTGTAAGTGGGCGTTAGCATGGAGGCTAATGAAGCCCACAGAGACTGAATGGAACTGCCCGTGGACATGCTAAAGCTCAGTGAGCTGTCCTGTAGGAGGAGGATAACACAGACAAGTTCCAGCGTACGAAAACAGCGACTACTAAGAACACCAGCTAGATTTCAATCCAAATGCAATGTAGCATGAAGTTAGTTTACTGACATAATAATTCACTAATGACACTTACTCTCCAATTCTGATGGAAGAAAAAGATGATAGCATTCGTGTTTTAAAATCCGGTTTATCTCTTCCTTTGATTAGAGGAGTGTTGACTCTTGTTTTTTCTTTGTCCGTGCTTTTTTTGCTCTCGGTCGCTCTTTTTGTTTACTTTGTGGTTTATTTTGTGACTTTTTTTTCCCTGACCCATGTTATTGGTTTGATTGTGTCTTATTGCTTTCTTTTTAACCCCTCTCTCTTCCTTGCTGTCTGAATTTAGTCGGAATTTCAATCAGTCTTTACCAGGCTATTGCATTTTCAACTTCCTCTTGTTCCTCAGTCTTCCTTAGATTCACCCCATGTTTTAGATTCAGTGCTTTTTTTGGACTAACCAGCCTAATTGTGCTGCAGGTTTTCTAACTAACTTTCTCTTTACCCTTTCTGCGTGTCTGTCTCCGTGATTCTGTATTTGGGTCAACCTTGCGGTTCTTAGAAGTATTCCTAAAGATTTGCTCACTAAATCTGGCTTTGTTATTATTTAATCAGTAACTTTTTCAAAAAGCGTGACTTTTTAATTTCTTGTGGTTTCCCTCAGGTTACACAGGAATTGAAAGTCCGGATGGAAACAGGTGGATGGAGACACGCTTGCTGACATGACTGATTAATTTACTGACTAATGAAAGTACTCAGGAAGGTTTGTGCCGCTGTAGCAGTCTTTAATTTCTGTTTTTTAATAAAGTGGTTCTGTGCCGAAGCTCTGCAGCAGAGTGTGAAATTGACAGGACAACATCTGCAGTTGAGTGTGTGTGTTTAATCTTCAGTTCAATTCCACACAGACACACAGTGTGTGTCACAGAGGTGCCGACATGAAGCTGCAGTCGGAGATACAGCTACGGTAAACTTTTATCGAGAGTTCTGGTTGACTGCACTATGTTGTACAGTATACATATGATAAAGACTCTACAGGCTTCATTTGGTGTCTGATCTGAGATGGCTGCTGACAGAGTTTAGAGGCTCCACATGGAAAGTTTGCAGAGCCAATCAGGCTTTGCGGCACAGCTCCACGCACTCGTTAAATGTAGATACTGTGCTTTCTGTATATATTTTTTCTCCTAAGCGGCGGTCAGCTTGACTTCAAAGATTTTTTTACACCCTCCAGCTGTTAATTTCACCGTAAAGCAGCTTGATGCAGTTTACCACTTACTGCTTTTATCTCAGTAAGAGATGGTAAGGAGATTTCCATGTATCTGAAAAAAGGTCCTTTTTTCTTTTCTTGCAACGAGAAGAGAACGTCAATAAGAAAAAAGATGTACTGTACTGTGAGAGCGCAGAAAATGTGTAGAGCATTTTATGTTGAATGAAAGTGAACTTGTCGTTTTGCAACAGAGTCTGGCTGGTCACCAGTGGTGATAAGCCGATGCTTGAGGTGATGCTCTGCTTGAAAAACACAAATGATGTTCGAGAGATCTGAAATAAAAACTTTGGTAAGGAATTTGTTGATTGTGAACCAGATCAAAAATGGACCCGGTTGTTGGATTCCATCGATTGTGATGCATTCAGGTGTCTGCTGGAAAAAATATTTTTATTAAAGTCTCTCTTTGTCATCTTGATGAGAGAATGCCTCTCAAACAACAATTCAGATAAGACAATAGACCAAAAACAAAACAAGCCCTCAGCCGTTGCCATCAAAGGGGGAAACTGATAACAGAAGTAGGTGATAAAGTTAGACATGTCGAGGAGCCGAGGCGAGCATACCTGTGTCTGGATGCGGTTCAGACCTCTGAACCAGAGAATCTGGCCTCTCCTCAGCTCCATCTCGGCGTGGTCGATTTCATCCGTGCCTTCGTTCAGCTCCTCCTCGGGAATCTCCTCCTTTGTGATACCGTGACCGGCCTCCTTCAGGAACTTCAAGTGGTGTGTGGGGATGGCCGAGATCAGCTGAGGTTGAGAGAAAACCATCGTCAGCAGATCAGATCTGGTGGTGTTTACGCCAAATCAGCAGATGAAAACAGCTGACAATATCCGATAACATCGATGGTCGAACTGCATTATGGGAAATGTAGGATCTTTTGGAGTGTGACTGATTAAAGTCCACAGAAGTTAATAATTCACGTATTAATATGTGTAGTGTATAATGACTCAAAAATTAAAAAAAGCATGGTGTGCAGGGTGCTTTCCCAATCTAGGACCAAGACTTATGTGAGACAACAGGACTGAGGTGTTACTAAGAGGTTGTAGGAAGTATTTTGGGTAAAGTTTGGCAAATTTATTTTAAAAAATAAAAAGCTAACAAATGAACTCATTACTTATTAGCGCTTTCATTTTTTTTTTTTTACTAACAAGCAAAATGTTGCTAAAGCTGCACTGAAGCTTGATTTGACCTCAGTTTTAAAACATAATATACAAAAACTAATGAAGCACAATTAACTTGTAACTTGGTTATGCAATCATTATTTTCCTTCTGCTGGTGAACTATCTGTTCATGGTTGTTAAAAGAGAGCGGAGAGACACCCAGCATCCTGCTGGAGCTGCACATCAGCTTTTTATATCTCCGTCACCCTCCTCTCTCTCCGTTAGAAACAAAACGTGTTTTTACCTCTTAAATAAATCACAGACTTCAGATGACTCTGTTTCTGTCAGCATATTTCTGTCTCTCTGCCCTCCACCTGAACCCAGCAGGCTAGCTATGACTGAACAGTTTTTCTGTGTGTTTGCATGCTAACAGGATCATGCGTGTGATGGCGTGTTCGTGCGCGTCCACAGAGGCGCTGACACGCCGGGTTTGTTTTCCCTCGGCCCTCGTAAACAGGAGTCGCACAGCTTTCATGTGCTGAGCTCATTACCATGGCGATGGTCGTGATGGCAACACCGCAGCAGCGCGAGTGTGACAGGCAACAGTTTTCTGCCATAAACCTCACATATCCACCTCTTCATCAGCTCCTGGGTACACGTTGCTTATTCTCACAGCTCGGGCTGGTGTTTGTTCTGCTCAGCTGTTTGTGCACTTGAGGTTTTCGTCTCACCTGTCCCCACAGCAGCTCTCCCACGCCGATGAAAACGCACCACAGCCACTGGTCGATGGTCAGAGCCGTGCAGGAGAACGGCTTTCCTCCGAACTGAACAATGACGATCTGGGAAGGAAACAAGCAAGCGGCATGTCAGCCGTGTGAACTTTTAGTCGGCAGATCTGGTGGTTTAACAAAGTTATGTTAGACTATTCTATAGTGTGAGATTGGTAATACTTTTACTCATACATTATTCCAATGCTAATGTTAAGGCAAATAAATGAGATGACAGGGTAACAGAGGAAACTCCAATTTCCAGTGTTACAGGTGGGAGAATCAGTGACACCTGCACTGACCACTGGCACCCAAAAGAGACAGAAACGACACAACTTATTATTAGGTACTAAGGTTTTTCGCCATTTGGGCACTACTTTTTAAATAATACCAAGGTGCGATGTTAGTTAAGTTGCCAATAACTTCTCTGTCATTTACTGTAATCATTAGCCAGCTAACTACAGAATCAACACGACCACCACCTTTCTATTGACAACCTTTCGACACTTTGTCCCCCACACAGCACAGGCAACTGCTCATCTCGTGATCTTCCACCTGTTTTTGGTCAACATTTTGGATGTGTGATTCATCGTACCACCAGTTCTACTGTTAAGGTCTTAACCTGATGTGCTGATGTCTTCTTACCATTTCTAATTCAGTGAAAAAAAAACCATCAGAAGGTTTCAGCTAAACTCTTTTAAATGTAACCAAACTATGTGGAGCAAAAATGCAGCTGCAGCTACTGAGACCATGAATCCATCCAGACTGAGCGGTAACATAACAGGAAAACCTTGGTAGCACTAAAGGATGGTGAAGGTGTTACCTGCAGAGCGAAGGTCCCCAGTACAACGCTGCAGAAGATAGGGTTCCTGTAGACACCTTCGAACACGTTCCTCTCTCCGTGGATCTTCCTGGCATTGATTTCGTTGAAGAGCTGCATCATGACGAACACGTTGAACACGATGGTGTAGTGCTCTGATGGTGGGGAGTGCAAGGGAGCGTTTCGCCCACTGTCGATGTCGAAAAAGTTCTCACCTGATAAAAGATGAAGGAAAATACCCCAAAAATGTATCTCAACTGTTTCGACAATGATTACCAAACATCAGCGTCTTAGTATCAATGCATTACTGCAGAACCAGGTTTACACCCAACTTGGATGGAGTCAGACTCACCAGCGAAGAGCAGGGTAAAGATGATGACGAGCTGGTACACAGCATGGCCAAGTATGTTCTTCATCATGGTCCTGGAGATGAGGGGCTTGTTCCGACCGTAGGGTTTACGTAGCAGCAGAGACTCAGTGGGCGGCTCCGTGGCAAGAGCGAGAGATGCCAGAGTGTCCATGATGAGGTTGACCCAGAGCATCTGGACAGCTTTCAGGGGAGAGTCCTTTTGGAGAAGGAGTAGGAGTTTAATTTACGAGAAGAGAATATAACATCAGGTATATAACAGAATACAAATATGATTCAGCAACCAAACAACAGGGAAACCAGCAGACTCTTTGCAGACCAGCAAAGAGCATTACTCCCAACTACAGCTTTGAAATTCCCACGTTTACAGCATGAGAAACTGTTTTGGTCTAATTTTCCTTATTGTGACAACTGGAATGGTGTGACTGGTTTCAAATTTTGTAAAGGTATCTCGTGATCAAAAGACCCTGTTAAATGCCACCTGCTTGAAAAGATGGACTCAGTTCAGTTGGACTCGAATGTAGTATAAACGTGTATTCATACTAGATGACTGAACTCCAATGCTTTCTCAATGACACAGTAACACACACGGTAAATAACAAACCTATAAAACATGTGAGAGGACAGTGTGACCACTACTGACAGAGGAGCTGAGATGCTGAGAAGAACTGATCATTCAGGGAGCATGCTCTGACACGGTACAGGGCAATGAGTGGCCTGCTGTCTGGAACAAATATGGAATCTCTGAGATTCAAAAAATGTTGCCACTGATACACAAGTTATTGTTTAAGAAGGTTCAGGGACCTCATGGTGGACACATCCCATTTTTCACATGGTGTCTATGGTTATATTTGAACTTCCACATATTGTTAGGATTGCATTGTTAGGAAACAAATATATGGGCATTTTTTATACTGCTGTCACTGTGAGAACCATACTGTAAGAACTGATTTAATCTTAGTGCGTCTAACATCAAATGAGTAATTTAACTGCATAAAAAAATGAGGAAAAAAGTACACACACATTTCAAAGCACTCCCTCCACTTCTAAAACCCAGTTTACGCCTCTGGGTCCTGCCTCTGTTCCTCTGTACACACACCAAACACATAAATCGCCTTTTAATGATCTTTTCCGTGCACTAACAGAGACCGAGCGCCTGATGATCAGTGAGCAAAATCACAGCACAGAGACCACAGACCTGCTGAGTCCCCCGTTATATTTCAGGATTATGATGGTGACGTGTTGCCATGGTTTCAGGCTGAATCTTAGCCTACTTTGTGTTCTTCGCTCTGTAGTCGAGTTAGTTATCTGGTCTTGCCAGCTGTGAGCCTTTCAATTAATACACAGCCCCAAGACTTTCTTCTTTATTGTGTCAGGGGTTCAGCTTTCTGATTACAGGCACATTATGAAACAAAGAAAATGTGACACGGCCAACTCGCCTCCTCGCAGCACTGAGACGGTCACATCGAAATCACAAATTACTCTTTGTTTCTATGGATATTTTATCAAGCGGAGATTTAAAGATGTTTCCACAGCGTGCGACGAGGTACACCAAACACACCAGCCAGCCTCAAAATCGAATCAAAACACGAGTTAATCAAAAGCATAAGTGAAGGCGATGTTTTTACTGTTTTTGAATTTGAGATGAAAACCAGCAACGACACAAACACAATTTCACATGCTGTTTATACGCAAATAGCACACTCATTTAAATAGTTTTACATTCAAAACCTTTTAAAATCTATACATTCAAAAGCATGTGATTCATTGATCATTGATTAGAGATACTGTAGCACAAATGCTAGCAGCTGCTATAGTGAACATACAGTGGCTTACAAAAGTAGTCGGCCCCCTTGAACTTTCCCACATTTTGTCACTGTCATGGTCCTGGGCCATGTTGGCCCAGTGTTCTTAGTTTCCTTGTATGTTTGTATTTTATTCCATGCTTCCCCTGCCCATTATGTCTAAGTTCTCCCCGTGCTCTCTCTTCCCCCTGTGTGCCCTCTATGTATTTATGAGCCCTCGTCCCCTTTCGTGTTTATTCCATGTCTCCCCTGCCTGTTACGTTGGTGTTCTACTCGTGCTCTCTCTCCTCCTGTACTTCCTGTTTCACCTCTCCCGTCAGTGTTCAGTTCACCCCGCCCTGTCTCGTTATGATTATCAGTGTCACCTGTGTTCCCCGTGTGTTCCCACTTCCCTCGTTAACCCTCTGTGTATTTCTGTCTGCGTCTCCCTCTGTTCAGTGTGACGTCGTCCCTCATGTTGTGTGGATCTCCCTGTGGCTCTCTGCGTATGTTAGTTTACTTTTCCCAGTTTAGTTTTGTATTTCCTATGTTCTGCCATTCCAGCATTAAAGCTGTGATTTTGAGTTCATCCCCGTGTCTGCGAGTTTTGCGTTTGGGTCCTCCTCCTGCCTGCCACACAGCCGAGCCTTGACAGTCACATTACAGCAACAAACATGAATCAATTTTATTGGAATTCCACGTGAAAGACCAATAAAAAGTGGTGCACACAGTGAGAAGTGGAATGAAAATCATACATGATTCCAAACATTTTTTACAAATAAATAACTGCAAAGTGGGGTGTGCGTAATTATTCAGCCCCCTTTGGTCTGCGTGCAGTCAGTTGCCCTTAGAAATTTACTTGATGAGTTCTAATGACTAAATAGAGTGCACCAGTGTGTAATCTAATGTCAGTACAAATACAGCTGCTCTGTGACGGTCTCAGAGGTTGTCTAAGAGAATATTGGGAACAACAACACCATGAAGTCCAAAGAACACACCAGACAGGTCAGGGATAAAGTTATTGAGAAATTTAAAGCAGGCTTAGGCTACAAAAAGATTTCCCAAGCCTTGAACATCCCACGGAGCACTGTTCAAGCGATCATTCAGAAATGGAAGTAGTATGGCACAACTGTAAACCTACCAAGACAAGGCCGTCCACCTAAACTTACAGGCCGAACAAGGAGAGTGCTGATCAGAAATGCAGCCAAGAGGCGCATGGTGACTCTGGACGAGCTGCAGAGATCTACAGCTCAGGTGGGGGAATCTGTCCATAGGACAACTATTAGTCATGCACTGCACAAAGTTGGCCTTTATGGAAGAATGGCAAGAAGAAAGCCATTGTTAACAGAAAACCATAAGAAGTTTGCAGTTTGCCACAAGCCATGTGGGGGACACAGCAAACCTGTGGAGGAAGCTGCTCTGGTCAGATGAGACCAAAGTGGAACTTTTTGGCCAAAATGCAAAACGCTATGTGTGGCGTAAAACTAACACTGCACATCACTCTGAACACACCATCCCCACTGTCAAATATGGTGGTGGCAGCATCATGCTCTGGGGGTGCTTCTCTTCAGCAGGGACAGGGAAGCTGGTCAGAGTTGATGGGAAGATGGATGGAGCCAAATACAGGGCAACCTTGGAAGAAAACCTCTTGGAGTCTGCAAAAGACTTGAGACTGGGGCGGAGGTTCACCTTCCAGTAGGACAACGACCCTAAACATGAAGCCAGGGCAACAATGGAATGGTTTAAAACAAAACATATCTATGTGTTAGAATGGCCCAGTCAAAGTCCAGATCTAAATCCAATCGAGAATCTGTGGCAAGATCTGAAAACTGCTGTTCACAAACGCTGTCCATCTAATCTGACTGAGCTGGAGCTGTTTTGCAAAGAAGAATGGGCAAGGATTTCCGTCTCTAGATGTGCAAAGCTGGTAGAGACAGACCCTAAAAGACTGGCAGCTGTAATTGCAGCAAAAGGTGGTTCTACAAAGTATTGACTCAGGGGGCTGAATAATTACGCACACCCCACTTTTCAGTTATTTGTAAAAAATGTTTGGAATCATGTCTGATTTTTGTTCGACTTCTCACGTGTACACCACTTTGTGTTGGTCTTTCACATGGACTTCCAATAAAATTGATTCATGTTTGTGGCTGTGATGTGACAAAATGTGGAAAAGTTCAAGGGGGCCGAATACTTTTGCAAGCCACTGTATGTATGTGCTCCAAATCTGACACCTGACATTAAGATTCAGCCACACTGGTACTCTGCTTTTTGGTTGTGGCATTCACAAACTGCTATTAACATACATGTGAAAAATGAAAATTTGAAATGATGTTTGGAAACAAAAAATCTAAAGCAAAACACTACAAAGAAGAAGCACACTGAGCACACAAACCTTTGCCAAACAACTCACTCTCTAGGCAGTTCTTACTAGAATTGTATTTTTTTTTTTATTGTATTCACCACAATAAATTCACCTTTAAGACTTTGGTGGATCGAAGCCAAATTTAAATGGATTGCTTCCATGACCCCACACTACACCCCTTTTCAAGCTATCATTTTTACAGACAGAGTGATGACACACACGCACACAAACACAACCAAAAATAGAACCTCCGCAGTTTTTTCTGCCCACTCGTACTCTAAACTTCTTCTTTCTTTCTTTTCATAAACACAAGCAAACAATATCAAACTGTGAGACTGAATTTAAACAGAAGATTTTGAAAAATCCAGTGATCGTGACGTCCTTTTCTTTTTGGGTTGTGTAGTTACAAACATTATGTGAGATTTTTTCAAAAATTCTCATTCACACGTGTTCGTTCCAGCTTTTTCAGCTCATATTCAGGAGGTCCCACTGAGCCGTCTGTCGTTATTCAGACTCAAACTGGTGTGCTAAATGAGCTGTAATTTCAGACATAAGCGGTTTACCTGTGTGATGCAGGCGCCTGTGAACGCCACAATCACGGCCACCACATTGACGGTCAGCTGGAACTGCAGGAACTTGGAGATGCTGTCGTAGACGTTCCTCCCCCACATGACGGCCTTGACAATACTGGTGAAGTTGTCGTCAGTCAGGATGATGTCAGATGCCTCTTTGGCCACATCTGTGCCGGCGATTCCCTGAAAGGAAGCAGAGAGGCATCATTAGTCCTTGAATAAGAGCAAACAGCCTCTGTGATGCCAAGTTTCCAACAAATACGGAAACTCTGTTCACACAAGATCCACACAAGCAATGAATCAACTCTGCTAAAAAGTGTTCATCGAAACTTTCTTATACATACATTTTTGTATTTTTATGGTATTTATAAAAAAGTTCAAATATCTGAATCTGTGAGAAACGGTGTATTTGGAGCTAGGGTGGTGAGTTAGAGTCATAAAGTACTGGAAGAGACACAAACTACAGTATTATTTTTTAGATTTCAGTCAAATGACATCTCCGGGTACAAAATCAGAATTTTTCTATTTTCCTCCTCATGTTTAAAACACTGCTCGTAAATTACCATCCCAAGCACCAGGTGTGGGCCTGCTGCTGTTTATTGATGCTTAAGGTAATTTCTAATCGTTCCTCCAAAAAGTCCATTGGCTCCAAAATCCATTCAATGCTCATAGGTCCTGTGTTCAAATGCCCAACTTCAGTCATGAAGATAATGTTTACAATAACCAGGCTTCCCCCTTGAGCACTACAAGACCTATGATGTAAAAGACTAAAGTCTGGCACTCTCTTCCAATCTGATTTTTTGTCACAGGCTATGTGATTTTACATAAAGACTGCGCAGTTTGCCTTAAACATAATGTGCAAAGACAAAAACTGTCGAACAAAGACAGAAATGGAAGATGCTCGGAATCACGGCTGAAGAGTGATTTGCTCAGATCAAGCAGTCCAAAAGAAAGAAAACACTTTAGATACCGTGGACACGACATCGATCACATACTTGAACATCAACCAAAGCAAAACTTGCAGCAATTTGTCTTTGCTGGAACACAAAGCAGAGAGCAGAGCAGGTGTAAGACAGTGCTGAGTGTTACAAGCAGGCTACACCAAACAACTGAAAACTCAGGATTTTATTGTTACACTGGACACTGAACTTGCTTAAAAATGCTACCGTTAGCGAAATTAATTAATGAAACCGGCCCTCTCAGCTGTGTTTGTCACTTTGGTGCCTTCTGGAGCACTTTTCATGCAGTTATCCAATAAATAATATGGCTTCCTGTGGCATATTATTATTGGTCTATGACTTTATGGTCACTTTATTCTATTAGTAGTATAGCACTTTCATCCGCAGCTGCTACTTCTGTGTTTATGAATAAATCTGAGTTGACTTGACAATCCTGACAAGCTCCATATAACAAGATGGCCAACAAGCTAACTGAGGCTCAAAAAATGTGGAGACCAAGTCAAAACATCAGCCTGGCTTTGTACTAAACTGCCTCTCAGACTCGCACTTATAGATCCCCAAAGTGCACAACACATAAATCTGAGGGACTGTAAAGTGATTAATAAGGTAAGAAGACAGAAACAAGTATTTCTGCTATGCAAATTCCACATTTACTGCCATCTTCTCCCAATGCTTGACTGATCACCACTCAACTAGACAAACTGTGGTAAGCGGTCACAGATAACACATTGCTTTACCTTAATGAGTCCCAGTAGTCACAACCTAAAAAGCCTTGGAACCATGACTAACTAATTGTGCATAAACATCTCAGCTGTGAGCAAGAGAACTCTGGTTTACTGAAGCTCATCTAACACCAAAATGTTGAGCTGGAGAGCCCACAGTTTCCTCAGAGATGGATAAACGATTATCTTTCTGTGGAGTTTAATGTTACTGCTTCCTAGCTCATCCGCAGGGTACAAGCACAGTTGAATAATGCTGCCGAGGTTGTAACGGCAGAGCAGTATGACAGGTACAAGGAGAAAGTCCAGCTGTTCAGCTTCACTATGGATAAAGCGACGACTTATTGTTGGGTTCTTTCTCATCTCCTGTAGATGCGAACAATCTGCCAGCTGGACGTTTAATTTTTAAACCCCCTTTCATCTAAAGTCTGAAAAGCTTTGACAGAGAGTATTTTATGCTGCTCAACTGACAGTAAAGTAAAAATAAAACAGGAGGGTCGGCCTTGTCTTAAACAGCAATTCTAAAGAAGTTCTGAGCTGCTGTGTCTCTCTACGCAGGCAGACTCGCTCAAACAGATGGAGGTGAATCGCTTTCAGTTTCCCAGCTAACCAGGCGATAATTGAACAGGGACGCTGGAGTTGAAACTGAAAATGTTCCAAATGGGACATATAAGCGCTGAAAGGTCACTGCTTTAAATCCACAAATTGCTTTTGTGATGTGTTTAGGAACAGTAGCTACTATCAGGGAATTGTTTGACAGCACAGCAGCTGCTCAGCACCCTGCAGGAGAGCCTGATGTTCAGATGACTTTCCCCAGTAAATAAAGGTCACAACAACACACAGAGGAGTCAGCTGTGAACTCGTCCACATGCATGTATTCTGTTTTTAAACAGATACACATTGGCAAGTTGTCAGCTGATCATCTGTTCAGTGTTACTCTTTAGAGGTGAGAGTTATGACGCCACAGTGTTAATTCATTCAGTTTCAAATACAGCAGAATTGGATCCTTTAAATCTACAAACACTTCACTCGCAGGCTGTCTCTGTTTTACAAACTTGCACGATACAAAGAAATGCTACCATTTGGCACTGGGTTGCCAGGTCTGTGGTTTTCCTGCAGAATTGGAATACTTGCCTCTGTCAGTGCGCCCCAGGGCAGCTGTGGCTACAATGTAGCTTGCCATCACCAGTGTGTGAATGTGTGGATGACTGAATGTAGTGTAAAGCGCTTTGGGGTCCATAGGGACTAAGTAAAGCGCTATACAAATACAGGCCATTTACCATTTACTTTACAAGTTGCAGTTGCCATCCTGAACTCCTGTACAAGTTTACTTAAAACAGTCTTCACTTTGAGGTAAATATGATGAAGATTCGGTTGGTGCGTCAAAAGTGTTACATAACAAATGAGCTGACGTAGGTGCAGCGCTTGGGAATCATAAAACTGGGACAGTGAAAACAACTGAATTTACACAGCAAACAAATGTTTATGAGTGGCTGTAGGAGAAAGTTTACTGAGACATATTTTGACATATGTCAAACAAAAACATGTTTATGCAATTTTATCTCTTTTCCATTTCCTCCAAAGATAAATATGGTTTTAACTTTTGAAACTTTTAGGTGATGTAAATAAGGAGTGCGATGTTTCCCCTTAGTGAGTTAGCTTTGTGCTATAAACACAAGCCCCAATATGTTTCGTTCCAAAAGTTCTACTGGGAAGATGATCATTTTATCCGGGCTGAGCTCAAGTCCAAACTTGGACGTCTCATGTTCTCATTTTCCATAGTAACAACTTTCTAAGCCACCTGGAAGAAAGCTATAAATATTGTAAATAATGATGATTGCTGACCCTTTTCAAATGTATCCTGAAAAGCAGCACATTTTCCAAGACATATTTCCTTACAGCATGCCACTGGTTGTAAATGTATTTCCTGATAGTCTCCAAAAAAAAGAAAAAAGAAAAAATCAATTTCCCTACTTAAAACTTGCTTGAGGTGTTTCATTTATTGTTGATGTGCGAGTCATGTGCATTAACAATACTTTTACCAGAGTAAATGTAACCATCATGTGATGGATTACTCAACTCAAGTTTCAGGAGTCTGAAAATTAATTTGTTAACGAAAAATAAAAACTAATAAATGTCGTTTCACTTAAATCTATAAAACACACCCAGATCGCCCAGAGGATTGTTATTGGTCATATATAAAACTCAAATGGGAGTTTCAGCCACCCACCCACTACCTTTTGATTGCTATTCTTCGCGTTTAGTGACCACTTGCAGGCATTTCTCAACATCATTACTTTAACTGTTATTACACACTTTCAGCTATGAATTTACCACATTTGTGTCTTGATAAAGTGCTAGTCACACTTTTAGCCAAGAAGCTCCTTCTTTTAATTTATAATTTTAGCTACTATAATAACTGTTTATCTAGTTTTTCCAGCTACCAATTTCATTTGTTTAACTTTCTTTTTCTTTTTTTTAAGTAATCAGTTGGTCAACAATAATATGCATAGTCACCATTGCTTATACAGCTTTCTAGTGCGATTCCTCTTTATGGTTATTCTTCTGCTTTTGTTTATTTAATTAAAGAATATGAAAACAGAGCATGAGATGTTTGAGAGAAAGAAAAAACAAACAAACTTAATAAATTACAGTAACCAGATATACTTGGATATTAACCTAATGAGGAAATATCTATCTAAATCATAAAAAAGTACTGATATAATGAAATTAAGTTATAGGAAGGGCATTTCAAGGAGATACCATCTCTCCACTTTTCCTCAGACTGACCCTCCTGTAGCCTCATGAACCCAATATCAGGGCAAAGTGTGTAATAGACACGGCGGTCCATCATGTGTATGTCATGCTTTGCTTCTCCAAAGCATGAAATGCACAGGTGAAGTTGCATTACCAGCAGAGGGACATAGTATATCTAAAAAGCCAAGATGTTGCTCGTGACCCAGGAAGGTGTAAAGTAACTCCAGGATCAGTCTATGCCAGAAACAATTAAGCTAGGTGGCTAATATGCAGTTACAGATAAATATTTTAGTGATGTCTCTAAACGCTTTCTCGTGATTATTTTCAAGGTGAAGTAATATCATAAAATTCTTAAAGGGGGCGATATCTGACTCTGTAAATTGAAGTGCTGTGAGGTCTGGAAAGGTGGGATAAGATAGCCAAACGCTCGCCATGAAACAGAGCTTGATATTTTTCTATCTAAATGTGTTTTTAAACTATTTTGTTTGTTCATTTTTACTTTTACCTGAATATTTTAACTACATTTAACTAATAAATTCCACATATTTTTAACCAGCTATTGTATTTTTTTCATTAAGTTTGTTTAGCTAAAACCATAATGTTTTTGTCCATACATGTGTTGAACTAATATTTCCAGATTTTAATAATTCAGCATTGTAGCTTCACATTATGAATGATTATCCATAACATGTTTTTGTAAATGGGTGAACAATCTAACAGTTTCAACTGTTTTGTTAAGCGAATTCAACTTTTTTCCACTTCGTGACCATTACTTATTTGTTTTAATCATTTTAGCAATTAATTTTGGCTGGGTCGGTCTTTTTATCTATTAACTTTAGTTAAAGGTGTTAACTTTCTTGCTCAAACACATTCTGCTCTTACCACTTCTTTAATTAAACTGTAATTTCAGTTTTTTCTTTTTTCCTTTTTGAGATAATCTGTCCAAATACCCTCAAAAATGTGCAAAAATGCACCCCGGAGTACATGCACTCTGGTTGATAAAACAGACAACATAAAGAAACAGCATTAGTCTCACTCTCTGTGAGTTGATCTGTAGAAAACAAAGGCAGTGACAAGGTGGTAGAGTGGGGCCCCACTGTGCTGAATGCACCGAACTCAACATTTATTGATTTATTATTCCATTTCACAGCTATCTTAATGAATCCGCGGCATTAAACTGAAGAGTTATTGTCAATGACGTTTAGAGAAATGACCTATTTCATGGCTGCATTAGAAACATAATTAACTGAAAGGCTTATTTTTTTCTTTAGGTAATGATGCAGAGAAACTTAAGTAGCAGAAGAGTGAAGCAATGAAGAGCCGTGAAACAAAGGCAACAGAAGAAAAGGACGAGGGAAAAAAAAAATGAAGAAGTGGTTACCATAGCAAAGCCAACATCAGCTTTCTTGAGGGCGGGGCCGTCGTTGGTACCGTCTCCTGTCACTGCAACCACCTGTCGGGTTTCGCCCACTGTGCTGTCGATGATGCCTGATCAGCAGAGTGAAACAACAAGAACCTAGTGAGTGCATGATCATTCAAAAAAAGAAGGGGGAAAAAAGTAGATCCATTTACAGCAGCTTGACTAAAGGTTTACATATACACGCAGATTTAAAGCAGCTCAACAGTCTCCTGTCAGAACAAACCCACCTTTGACCAGAGTGTGTTTGTCTGTGGGTGATGATCGAGCCAGAACACGCAGCTTGGGCCAAACTTTGTCCAGACGCTCTTGTTCCACCTAGAAATGACATGTTTAAGTTTCAAATAATCTTTTTCTAGCATATAAAAATAACCATCCCAGTTGGGTACAGAGCAATAATGGGGACTTGGAGCTTCATCTTTAACTGGACAAATCTGAGCACTTTACTGGGCAGAGCAAGCAAAGCATAAGTCATAAACCTAATGCATGTGTTTGAATTTGCCTCGAGGCCATTTGCTGTGTCTGTCCTATCCAAATAAAGACAATGTCCGAAACTCCAGGACAGGCAGTGAGAGAAACAGCCAACTGCTTAAGAGTTAAACTGATTAATTGGTTAATGGGCTGCACTGATAGTTCTATAAGCTTTTCTAGATTTACTGAGCACTCAAAGCACTTTTTATGCTATGAGCTGCATCCATCCATTTACACACACTCATGCAGCACTTTATGTACACAAACACTCACACACTGATGGATGCATCAGGGGCAATTTAAGCTTCACTATCCGTACAATCAGTAAACAAAGCTCTCTACCTCCCAAACCCCCAAAAATCAGCTGATATAAGCTTAATGCAGACAGATCAGTTTAACATGATACTGTTGTAAAGAGTGCTGTGTGGACGGTATCAGCTGAACAGGTAAAACACTACCAAACACAACATCTCCCTCGCTCTAATAAGATACCTATAAGATACATTAGGAAACTTAATGTTTGCTGCTTTTGTACATAAGCCTTTGGAAGGGGGTTAACTCAGGGCCGTTAGGCCACCAGAGATGTAATGGGCTAGTGGAAATCTGGCATTAGCAACAAAGACTTATTGGGCCATATTGACTTAATTTGGTGGTTGTTTTGAGTTCATTTCAGAGTCATTCTCTGGTCAAAGCTTCTTTTTTTTTTTTTAAACTTAAATGCTCATATGAATGTTGCTTGCAGTTGGATTCTTTTTGTAGTCGTTTTACCTCTCCCTTGTCATTTCTTATTTGTTGGTTGAACTCTTTGCCCTCCAGACACAGGAAGTCCTCCCCAGGCAGCAGGATGCCACACTTAGTCGCAATGGCACGAGCAGTGTTGATGTTGTCTCCGGTAACCATGCGCACGGTAATGCCTGCACGCTGGCACTTAGAAATAGCCTCGGGTACCTGGAGGAGAGTCAGAACAAAGGGACTTGAGCATTTTCACAGTAAAAAAAAAACAAAAAACCTTGAAGATGAATGCAGAGTGACAGAAAAGATGAAGATGATTTTGAGTCTGAAACATAAGGAAGGACCCCTTGCCTTTAACCCAAATAAAAAAACTGTCACAAACATTCTGTTGGTTGTTTCTTCAGGGTCTTAAAAGATGTTAAAGAAAGAGTTTATACTGCAGCAGAGCTTGTGTGTAAGAGGTCCAATTCCAGCAGCAGCAGATTTTACATGAGAACCACCGTCGTTGTTCTTAAACCCACCCTGAGATTCATTCATCTCGGTCTGGGAGAGGTGATAGTGACTACACAAAGGTACACAGACGAGAGAGGTGCTGACTGCTTCTTGTGCTCCTCAGGTGGTCCGACTGATATGACCAAAACCCAACAGAGGGCACATTTTTTGCTTACAAATACATACAAATGTTGCACAGTTCTCATTTAAAGTGCCTCAGCCAGGGTGCAGCATACTGTTTCCCTTCCTTAAGAATGGCTTCTTAACAGCCATCCTTCCACTGAGACCATTTCTGAGGAGGAAGTAAACAGTGGATCCCCTGAACGGCCAGCTTCATCTCTCTATTCCTGTGTCAGGTCTTTTTAGGCATCCCACTTCTTTTTTTGTCTTCCGGGTCTCGCTTTTCCTCATAATTTTAAGGACATATTACACAACATGCCAAGATATGCAGAGTTTTCATCTCTTTGGGAATCAACTTGTTGGAGCAAAGATTTTCTGCTGTCAAACTATAAGATCGTTGGGATTTTTAATGGATTTGGCTAAAGAAAAGGTACAGATGTGTTTTTCTTACAGGCTGTGAGTAACAAAGTTCCCAAAGACACAATTTAAAATTGTTTTTTTGCTAAGTTGTCTGCTATGTGTAGACACAACGCTGGTTCATTACCTGGAGTTAGTGACCTACGAATCATTCAAGCATCAAAATGCACCTGCTAAATTGCTTAAGAAACAAAAAAACATTCTCTCAAAGGTTCATGTACAAGGGCTGGGCTGAAAATGAGTGAAAAAGCAGCCAGTGTCCGAAGAAAAATGTTAAAAGAGCTTCAGAAAGCCTAGAGATCTATTGCTAAAGAGCATTTTTAAAATTAGTCTGGCTCCTTTTGTAGCACAATGTAAAGAAATAATGGGTGGCTCAGGACTTTGGCGCAACACTGCGGACACTTACATTAATTATAGTAAAATGTTGTAGGAAATGCTCTATGAATGGTCTGCATACATTACCCTTTAAGTTAATGAACCAATCATGTTAAAAGGGGATCCTTGTGTTTCCTTAACTTTCAGCACTGACTGCTTGATTTTGGGGTTACTTGCAGTTACAAAAACACTTTTTCTGAACGTGAGGAGAAAAAATTATTTGTAGCACAAAGCCAAAATATTCAGTCTTGTGCCCATCACAAGTTGTGAAGAGATAAACACTGTGCTGCTGATTGACTCCTGCTGCTCTCCGGTTATTTCCATCCTGTTGGTGATCTTTGTGCTCTGACATTAAAGCAGCAGGCAGCAGCACTGATGCTTTCTCAGCTTCATTACAGGCCTCATTTAACACTTCAGAGCATCCGGACTGTAAGATCTGGCTAGGACAAACTTCGGTCTTCATGTTAGGAGAAAGTTAATGGCATGCTTACACAAATATAACAATATAGTCAAGAGCAGCCTCTCAGATGAGTTTCAATCTCAATGAAGAAAATTTAAGCTCCCTGTTTGGTCTGTTTAACTTATTTTTGCATCATCAGAAAAAACAAGCTGCACACCACAAACTCTGATTATCCCGTAGATCTACTGATCCCTGCGTGAAGTCTGGATTATTGCAGGCAACAGAAGCAGCAGCCTCTTACTGCTGTTTAGTAAAGCAACAAAACTATTTCCGGCGCTTTTCATGTGAACAACTGATTGCAACACTATGAACGTCTTTGAATAGGGACCTTCTGGAAGTGTGAGAAACAAAAACACACACAAATGGCACAGAGCTGTTAGCGAGAGGATAGGGAGGAGGACAGCGGGAGGTAGAAACAACTGGATTATCTGTCAGTCTGCATGCATAGACAGCTTATCAGTCCTTTTACCTTTTTTTTAGGCAAAGTGGAAATTATGTAAATTCATCTCCCATGAAAATACAATATTTATCAAGGCACTGGGATGTGACATATGACTGAATGGTAATTATGTAATCCATAATTACAGTGTGTTTCTTGTTGAATAACATCATGGTCTCTTCCTCGCTGCTCTCACTGACTGTTAGGTTATCCACACTTCAGGTCAAAAGAGGAAATGACACATCGTGAATAGAAAAGTCTTTTTGGTGAACAGCGAACATTGTTTTATGTTCAGCCTTTTTATTCGGAGCTGCGGTTTTGCATGGTTAAAACAGATCCACGATTTTATCTAAACAGCGAATCACAAACAAATCTGAACAAAAAAACGTCAAAACCATATAAGACGTGAAATGGTAAGCCCATGCAATTCCATACTAACCACCACTAACCACTGAAGCTGCCATGGAAATCTATGGAAAAATGGTCCTCATATCCCTTACTCTGTGACTTCAGTATAGTTTCCTGATAAGTTTATGGTCTCAATGACTAGCTTCAAATTATGCTGATCACATTAAGAATCAGAAAAGAAGATCCCTGTCACATTTCAAAACACCAACATGGCTACGCTGAAACCATTCACCTTGGGGTTTCGTAGCAGTCTGGCCAGTCGCACAGTCCTCTTTAAATATCTTCGTAAAGGGGGCCCTCTATGGTTGTCCTAATGTTTTTGTCATATATACACAAAGCGATGGATACTCTTCCAACAACAAGGTCAGTTTATGTGCAAGTAGTGCCTATGAGCTAATACAGATCTGGCTGTCAGCAATGAAGCCCCATCCACCTGTTACCGTTTATGAGGGGCAGCCAATGAGAGGAATGGTGGCTGCACCACAGTCCAGTATAAAAATAAATCAGGATTATTTTCACCTGTGAATCATGCTAAGCTACCACAGTGGTATTCAATTGAAGTAATTTGGACCAAGAAATGTGCATTAACTTCATATTTAACTGCACACATTCTGAGCTAATGGTGGCTGGAAAGCATGTTGGTGCATTTGTTAGCACTGTTACCTCACAGCAAGGAGGTTCCTGATTCAAACCCTCTGATTGGCTCGGGGCTTTCAGAGGACATTGCATGTACTCTGATGTCTTCCCAGAGTCTCAAAAATGCATGTTAACATGCGGGTTAATTTATGCTTGTTAATTAGCCACAGATGTGAAAGAATGCTTGTCTGCTTTTCTGTGTAAGCGCTGTAAAGAACTGGCAAACTGTCCAAGGAGAAGTCTTTTCCTCAGCCTATGACATCTGGGATAAGCTCTAGCCTAATTAAAACGATGAATGGAAACTCTTTTTATGACTTTAATATTTTGTTTATATGACTGCTTTGCAACACAGTGTTTTCAACAATGCTACAGAAATAAAGATTGGGATGTTTGGCCATAAACACGCCCAAAGAGGAAAGGTGAAAATGATAAGAATAAATAAGCTGTATAAAGATTCTTCAGCAGGTAACATCATTGATTTTGAAACCTAACGGCACATTGGCCAACATGAGCTGTTAACTACAGAGAGCATTTTGATCGGTGGTGCTGTACCTCAGGTCTGACGGGATCTTCGATCCCCACCACGGCGATGCAGGTCAGTTCGTTGAGGATGTCATTCTCAGCGTCCCAGTCTGGCTCTCCAGCCTCAGCAGGAAAGTCCCTGTAGGCCACACAGATGGTCCTCAGCCCATCGCACGCCATCGGCTCAATCACCTTTCGCACCATCTCGTCACGGTCCTTGGGCTTGAAGACACGAGGCTGGCCCTGGGCGTCCAAGATACGAGAGCATCTGGGAGATGAGAGAGAATCAGAGGAAGTGAAGGGAGATTATAAAGGTATACCAAAAAGGTTACTGTGTCCACCCAAGCAGCCATCTTTCCTCAGACTGTTTGTTCTTACTTCCTCAGGATGATCTCTGATGCTCCTTTGCTGTACATCCGGAAGCCTCCGTCAGCATTCTTTAGCACCGTGCTCATGGATTTGCGGGAGGAGTTAAAGGTGTAAACCTTGTAGAGTTTCTCTTCGGGGACTTCATCTCTGATTGGCTGGTAGTCCCTCTTCAGCTCCAGCACCAGGCCCAGCAGAGCACATTCAGTCTTGTTACCCACATGGCGAGGTAAGCCGCCTTCTTTCTCCGGGGGCTGAGGAGCGAGAAAAAGTTTGGAGGTGCTTAAACATGATTAAAGTTACAAGCAAAGCGGGTCACTAGGAACATCCAGCGGTTCAGGTTTGTTTGATGTTTGCTGGTTCAATCAGAGAAGCTTGGGCTCCAGAATTAATCAAATTTTAATCATTTCATTGGGTCTATACGCACAAAACAAGACCATCTGAAGAACACAACGCTTCTGTAGCTGCAATTCAGGTACATGTGCAGGTTAACAGTAACTGTCAGTCATGTTGGTGCCATGAAACAGGTTTAATACTATAATTTAAAATCACTTAACACACATGGTGACACATATCTAATAAATTAATATAATAAATTATATCAGATAAATGATTTTAATTAAAATGTTAGTATTCATTTTTCTTGACTTGACATGAGCCAGCGTTAGCTTGGGTTTCAAGTCCAATATGAACACAGCGATGTACTAGGAGATTTTAGAGCACTTCATGCTTCCATGTGAGGACATGCGTTATGGAAATGACAGTTTCCTTTTCCAGCAGGAGTTAAAACCTACACACAGTGCCAAAACCGCAACCAAACGGTTTGTTGGCCATAATTTTACTCTGTTTGATAAGCGAGCCAACTCCACTTACTCTGAATCTACGGGGATATTGTCAGGGAGAAGAATGTCCAATATAAAAAGAGCTGAAGGCTGATATCAAGCACTGCGGGCTTCAGTGACACCTCAGCAGTGCCACAAGCTGATCATCTCCATGCCACACCGCACTGATGTTGTAATTCGTAACTTGAAAAGCATCCAGTGTGTAAATGACCATAATTTTCAGACACCAGACATTTCTGTATTGCCATAATCATCAAAATGAAATAAAAAAAAGGCTTTATATCTAACATATACAAAATATATCAGAGATTACTTTTTTGAGATATTTTCATTATCTGACTACCTCTTGTTTTCTCTGTCATGATGACACTCGCTATAATAAAACTATGGACTACCAAACACTAATAACACTACATACTAGTCTACATACTGTAATAAGAATACAGTACTTTGATCTGTAAAATAGATGGTTACTGTATGTAGGTAATGCGTTACCACTTTCTGCTTGGGGTGTGGACGATAAACAGAAGGACAGAAAGCTCCCGGAGCGAATGCTGCTCACATTTATGCACACCTGAGGCCAAATTTTCAGAGTATGGCAAAGTTGTATGTTTGTGAAGAATGCGATCAACAGTTTGTATTGGCTCATAAATATACACTCAATATAAGAAGGGATGATGCTGAATCTCATTCATTAGATTGTGCTCAGATTTTTCTGGTATGTTCTTTGCTTAGATGTTTTTTCTCCTGTGTAATCATCAGGAAACATTGTCCCAACTATAGTTACTGCCTCAGGCAGGCACTCATGTTGCAGTTTACATGCTTGTCAGTCTATACTCATAACTTGCGTAGTGAAGACTTCCATTAATAAAGCATTTATCACAGCACAGCTTCTTTCTTTAACATAAATGAAATGTTAGGCCCATAAATAACTGAATATTCTCTGTTTATTATTATAGATGCTCCAGAGCCAAATAATTGCATTTGGAACACCTGAGTGTCACTATTTGTCGATGTGATAGTTAAAGACTCACCAGGATCTTGGTGGTGTACGCTGAGTTGATAGAGATGCTGTTGACCATTATTTCCAAAGTATCCGGCTTGATAGCATCTGGTTCTGGGACAGTCTTGTAGTGCGTATCGCCGATGTATGCCTGCACCACTGTCATCCGATTCATAGTCAAAGTACCCGTCTTGTCGGAGCAGATAGCCGTGGCGTTGCCCATGGTTTCACAGGCGTCAAGGTGACGCACCAGGTTGTTGTCTTTCATCATTTTCTAAGGGATGGACGATGAAGGTGCACTCATTAAAACCTCAGCGTCTCTGACATGATTTTGAGAGGATTCTATTAATGTTAAATAATTCCCTCCTGCTCACCTTGACAGAGTAGGCCAGAGAGATGGTGACAGCAAGCGGCAGCCCCTCAGGGACAGCGACGACCAGAACTGTCACACCGATGATGAAGAACTTGACAAAATACTGAATGTAAATGGGGGTGCACTCAGCTAACCACTGCCGACCCTGGACCCCAAAGGTGTCGATCACAAAGTAGAGGATGAGGATGATAACTGTCACCGCCGACATGATCAGACCTGGGTGGAACAAGAGCAGTTTTCCATTAAAGTCAAGTAAGCTTTTTTTAAGGGTTTTAAGGTTTCTACAACACGTATCTTTAAACCTTCAGTTTCAATCCTTTGGGACTGAGGCTGTTCTTTTGTTGCTGTGTTCCCAGTTTCTATGGACTCCTGTGTTCCTCCATCTCTGCTAACTTGTTTAGTCTCTGTCTTCATGTAATTTTGTAGTTTACTTTCAAGTTTTTCATGTACCTGGTTCTAGTTTTACCTCCGGCTCTTTCCTCCTTTGCAACTGTTTTTCTAGCACTCATTAGTTTTACCTGTCTTTAATTACTTTCCATTGTTTCATGTAATCAGTCTCTGTCTGTATATAATCTTGTCTTTCCATAAATCCTGTGTTTGACATCTGGATTCCTGTTTTATTTACTCCTTTGGGAATTATGTTTACCATTTTCAGCTGTTAGTAAATAAAGGCTAATTTTTTTGTTAGCATGCCTATCTTCTCTAACCATTTTATGTCATGTATGATGTTATAATCTTGGTGATCCAATACCTATTATCTTATTTTGTATTCAGCAACTTATACTCACATTTTAAATTGACTTACTTGACTGATCTGCACTTCTTGTCCACATTTCATACTTTTACACATTTTTTTCTAAGCAGAAGACACGTCTGCAGTGACAAGTGCACGGGACTGTTAATGTTTACCTTTAAATGCTTAATTTAATGACATTGTGATCATTATTTGAGTGACGACATTTGTGTGTTGAAGAACACTGTAAAGGCTTAGCTATTAACAGCCCACCATGACTGTGTCTGCAGCGATTAATGACACTTGTTCAGTGAACCTATTCAAGGTTGTTAAGGTTAATAAAACCAGCGTTCCTGGAACGCAGTGTGTCTTAACTCATGATGGAAATACAGCTGCTCAATTTCAGCTTTCTAAAGTTGGTCAATCTTAGTGCATTTTCAGATTGTAGTCCCCATTATTTGCTCAAAAAAAATCCACTGAGAACTGACGTAAAAAGTATCCTTAACTTAAACTATCTTTTTTTCTGATTTCCTGCCTCATTGGAAAGGCCGGAATGTCCTCTATTGAGCACATCAGTAGGGTAGCTCAAATAAGTCAAAAGATATAGACCAAAACCAAATGTCCATTACAGAGGACATTTGGAGACTATGGCTTAGTTTATTAGGTTTACGTGACTTGTCCACATTAAGTACTGCAGATTCAGTCACATTCAAGTTATTAAAAACCTTCTTTTATTTAAATTAGCATTTTTTAAGCAAAACCAACCTGGTATTTTTCACAGTGCTGTGGCAGCACTTTTCAGATCTCTTGTGGTGCTTTTAAAGATGATCTGATGAGCAGTCCTGCTGAAGACCTGCTGGCAAACTCTCCCTGTGGTCTAGCCTTTTGGGAAATATTTAACCACACTGTCCCCAGTCTGATGCTACTACAAAATAATTTTGATTGCATGTCATCCCCTTTGCTTTCCATGTCTCTGTTTCTATAGTCAACTACCAAAAGAAAATACACTTTAATCTTTAATCTATTTTACGCTTTGGTGTCTAACTGCACTGATTCCGGACTGCCAACACTTGAATATGTCTCGCTTGTAAAAAATTGAAAGGTGGTTAAACTATGATATTTAATAAGGCAGTGAAGTCTGGATGCCTGTAACCAGACAACATCCTGAATATCAAACAGGTGAGGGGAAGTAACAGAAAATTCCCGTTTGTGTTTCTGTACTTCATCTCTCCTGTCAGTCACCTCCAGTCAAAGTGTTTGGCCCAAATTCTATTTCTGTTCGGTAATGATGTCCTGAAAACCCCTTGGTGTATTAAGGTCAATTGAAATGACACAGAAAATGCTTTCAATTCCGGGATGAATCGTGTCCCCAATAAAAAACATCCATCCAATAGAACTGAGTGCATTTTGACCCTCAGCCTCTTCGTCCCTGCGCTGCCTGATCACTTTGTGTGCTATTAGAGGGCAAGACACACTTTTTCTCAAATGTCGTCTTTGTGAGAGTCATGTAGCAGCATAAGTTTCATTTCTATGTATCTAATAAAGAGACTTGTTTAGGATCTACTAGCCTGTAAAGAAATAAAACTGCAAAGATCCTCTTAGTGTAATCAAAAAGAGACAAAACTGCCTTTCCAATAACTTCAGATATGTCTGATGTTGAATCAATCCTGTAGATATCTGGGTTGAACTAACAGTACAGTCAAATTCAGGCACCTAATAATGAGTAGGATCACATAATAAAACAGCCAGTTCATTTTATTAGTGATTCTGTACATTTTATGCTTTATTTATCAGTTTTGACATCCTTTGGTATTGTGACTGCGCTGAACTGCAGCTGGAGACTCACCGCTTATAGCTGTAATATACTGATAACATTAACTAGCCTTCACAGAGGCTGGCAAGGCGATGCCGTCAGACATGATCACAATGTTTACTTAGCTCAGGGCACTCTGAACTCTTTTGGCAACAGAGCTGATTTAATAACTCTGGCAATCTCTTACATTTTTATTTAACACCATCATTCAGAGGCAGAGCAGTAATACTTAACGTATGACTCAGGAACCAACTCAGGATTGCCACAGGACGTTGGCTGGCCCACAGACATTTTATAATTCACTAAATAAAATCTACTGAAGGGGTTCCAGCTATGTTTAATGCTGTACAGAGTCCTTCAAAAGTAACCAATTCAATCAACTGCAGCTAAAACGCAGCAGCAGCTGCTTCCAAATATGGTAAAATGAATGACTTGTCATTCTGGGCGGGTATTCAAGTTAATATAGATAAGAAATAAGGAAAATATAGGAAAATGTTAAATATTATGTGAATACAGAAAACTACCACAACACTTTGTCTTCCTGGCGAAGTAACACTTTAAGTTTATTCTTCTAAATGGCAAAAAAAAAACAAACAGACCACTGCATATCAACTGTAAGCTTTCATCAGGGTCTGATAAACACATAATCAGTGTGAATTAAATTACAGTAATGCTAACACTTGTGTGGAGGAGATTGTTTGCTTGTTTAATGTTTATTAACCAGCCTCTGGTCTCCAGTGATTGTGCAAAAGTGGTCCTCAGACAAAGCAGCGCGAGTATCCCTGTTGTAGGCTCCCAGCAAAAAAAAAAAAAAAAAAAAAAAAAAAAAAGAAGACGAAGGAGAGAGGTCCCATCAGAGTTTCACAGTAGTTTAAAAACTCAAATTACTGACATTCATTTGTGGCTGTTAAAGTATTCTTAATAATCAGTTAAAGTTAAACCTCAAAATCTTTTACAAAACTATTAGCTTCATTCATTTTGGCACGTCTCTTTAAATGTGGTCTACAAAACTGTGCTGACTCGACTTTTACGTTTTTGGAAAGTGAATTAAAAAAAATAAAAATACTCCACCCCAGGTTGAAGCTAGACCAGCAGATTCCCCTCAACCGCCAGCCTTTGTTCTAAGCTAGGTTAAGATTGTTCGTGTGTGTGCGTGTGTGTGAGCTACTCACCAGCCTTCCCAATCTGCACAGCTAGTCTGGTCAGTTTTCCCTGAAGCACAGACTTCTCCTTCTTGGTAACATTGACCTTTTTCACTGGTTTGACCTCTTCCTTCTCCTCAGACTCAGCGGCCTCTTCACTCTTCAAAGGCTGTATCTCCAGAGCAATGCCATCCTGGGTCTTGGCTGTTAGGATGGAGGCGGTAAAAGGAGGAAGCGGAAGGTTTTACGGGGAATGACAGAAGGAAGGAAGTAGGGTTCGAGGTGGTGAGTAAAGACAGATGAGGACAGACAGAATAATGGAGAAAATTGATGGTAGTTGGAAAAGGAGGAAGGTTTTGGATGGGAGCAAAATAAAATTTGAATGAATTAAATTGATGTTTAATTGGCAACAAAATAAAACACAATGAGGATGCAAGGTTCAGGAGTGGTTAGGGGATGAAGGAAGAGAGGCAGAGAAAACGTTACAGAATCAGTCTGAGGGAAAGCTGAAAAACGACAGGACGAGTTTTCTCAGAAAACAGAAACACCTCTGACTCCTAATCATTACATGGTGAACCTTTGGCTGAATGCAGAGAGCAGCATTTCATCGTTTTATGATCACACAACATTCATGATAAAAAGGTCCAGGTAGCTTTCAGAGTGTCACAGACGAGTTGGGTGCAGCAGTTCATAATGAAGTGCAGCAGACAGAACAGAAAACAGCAGATACAACAGTGAGGATTTAACACGGGGCTGTCAATCACACACAATCACACGCACAATCACGCACACATACAGTTTGTTTGACATCAGAGCTCCGAGTTTGAGATCTGAAGTCTGATGTGCAGTCTAGCTTCGCGTCCTGCTCGATGGCTCTGCTCTGCATTTGCATAAACAAACTGTGTATTTGCATTTCACTTCATCAGCTGTGATCCTGTTTGGACTGTAGTAATGTATGTGGAGAGTTTGTGATCTGTTTGATCTCTGCTCACAGCGCATTCAGCTCCGCTCGCTCCATCCGCTGTTTGTCGTATTTCCATACCAAAGAAATATGAGCAGGTGATGAACGAAAACAAAACAGAGCTTCTCTAATCTCACACACTGAGGTTTGATATTTGTCCTCATGAACGACTGAGCTGACAACTCTGACTGGATGATTTTATCTGAAAATTCCTTCATTTCCATGTCATGTTATTCACAATTAAATACTGGAAATGCTCTGCTGGGTCAACAAACTGGGGCAAAATTACTCAAATTTACATCATTAAAGCTATTCAGACTGACTGCTGGTAAACATTTCAACATCAAATATGGAACCAACATTTCCAACAAATCGTGGATATAAAGCAAGTTAGACAGATGACCAGAAAGTAACAAGTACTCTTGTATTGCTAAGGTTATAGCTCTACTGCTGTGAAAACATAACATTTATTCACATTCTGAATTTTAGTTAAAAAAAATATTCAATGGAATGAACCAAAGGAAAAAACAAAACAAAAAACAATCCAACAATAATAACGTAAACTGGAATGAGGAGTAAAACCATGTTGTCCAGTTTTGCTTCACTTTTGCAGAAAGTTTCAGCAATAAGTTTAAAAGAAACTGAATTAAATCAAACTGAGATACTGAGCCTCAAGCAAGAACCGATTTAAATGTTTTTAAGGGAATTGATTCTGTTTTTCCTTTTTTCTGTCAAATATACAGTCAGTTTGCGCAGTCCTGTGAAGTACACCCTATAACCCAGCAGCTTTAGCATTTCACTGTGTGACTTTATCAGCTTCTCACATCATTGTGGAGTAATTTTTGCCCACTCTTCTTTAAAATGTTGTTTCAGTTTATGCACTTATTCAGTTTATGAACTGAAGTTGATGTTTGGGATCATTTATTTATACACGACTCTTAAGTATTTTTCAGTCAGGTTAAAGTCTGGACTTTGATTGGATCATTGCGGCAACCTGAGTTTTTCCTTTTTCAGCCATTCTGTTGTAAATTTACTGGTCAAGCTTTAGCCGTCAGACTGATTGCCTCAGATTTAACTTTGGAGTTCACAGTCGACCCAGTGACTGCAAGGTATCTGAGAAAAACAAATCCTCAGCCCTCCACCACTGTGCTGACAGTTGGTATGAGGTGTTTGTGCTGATCTGTCCAAATGTGGCGCTGTGATTCACAGCCAAACATCTCCATTTTGGTCTCATCTGTAGAAACCTGCAACAGTCTTTTTTTCCTTTTTTGTTTATGCAGATTAACTTTGAAATTCTTATGACTGACTGACATAAATCCTGGTATTAGCTGGTGAGAAAAGATGATGTTTGAAATGTGTTGTATGTATATAGTGAGAATCTGAGCTCAATCTAACAAAAAAACTGAAGATTTAAGATAGAAACATTAAAAAAGTCCCTGCATGAGGCTCCTTGTCTTTAACGGCTATATTGCCTTCTAACCTGGGTAAAATGAAAGAATTTGCATGCTCAACAAAGCCAGGAGTGTCGCCCTAACATGTTTTTTGTCTGACCACTTTTATCCACTCCTCAGTACCACCACCTTGCTCTGAGTTTCATCAGGTTGTTAATGAGAAACCTCCGACACAGATTATTTCCAGAAGGGAAGTAATTTCACAACAGCACGACCTCAACAAGACATTTAACATTCTGGATGTGGGGATGGGTCGGTGTTAAACCGGGAAGCTGCGGAGCCTTATGCACATAGTCCACTCTGAAGACAAGCCACAACATAGAACTAACTGACACAGCTTCACACGAACAGGACTGAGACCCACTGACCAACCACAGAAGTGTAAACAGGCGCAGCACTGAACCATGGGAGAACGCACGGCGAGCAGAGGGGAGGGGGTGTCTGACAATCAAAAAGTAAAGCAAGTCAACAAACAGAAGATGAACTCAAAGGATCACCCCAAAAAAAATGAAAAACAACAGCGATGCAGAACCACGACAGAGAGAGACAGGAGGAGGTAGTGGAGGCTGCAGAGCTATGGAGGCTGCAGGAGACTTCAGCAAGACAAAAAGGAACAGAGGAGAGAATCAAACAGTGCCTACAAGACAACATGAAGTCCTGAGCAACGCCCTGCGAGGAGGCAACAGTGAGAGAAATGAGAGGAGTCAAAAGGGAAAAAGAAAACAAACTGAGGATAATACACAAACAGAACAGACGACAGCCCACAGCCCACTGATACTGCAAGGGTGCAACTCCCACATCCTCGCTTCAGCGCCCCCACCCGCAAACCCCCCCGGCCATGTCTGTTTCCCCTCAATACTGCCAAGAGAAGCTTACATTGACCACAGCATGTTAAAATGTGATTTAAAAAACAAACAAACTGTGGGGTATTTTAAAGGTGAAACATCAGATTCTCAGATCCTTCTTTTGCTGCTGCACTTCCTGCACAGATGTTTCACATTAAAAGCTTTCCAACCGCTCAAGGGACAAACACCCACATGATATTAAAGTGAAACATCTGCAGGAAGTGTTGTGATACAAAGGGTAAAAAAAAAAAAAGGAAAAGCAATTATTAAATAAATGATAAATAAACTATATTAAAAATTAAATCTTTAGGTTTTAAACTAGAAACAAGCTATTATGAGATGTGACCTTGGGCTTTTTAAAAACGTGCAATGGGATACTTAATCAAAAGACAAGGGTTAGACACCTTTGTCAGCCCATTTGTGGAATCTGCACCTCCCAAGACACCTGCAGTATAGGGTGTCACCACCATAGACAGTATAAAAGATGGTAGCAGCTGACCAGTCTAAATAGTGCCTAAGTGCATCAAACATGCATTACTCTTAATGGCCAGTAGGGTGTGCCTCCTCTGGTTGCAATAAGACTTTAGGTTGTCTAGAAGAAAACAACACTCGGCTTCCTCGCACTCTGACCTCAGTAAAAACTTTCCATATGACTTTATGGCTCCACTGCTACTTTCAGGTCACACTGAAGAAAACAGGAAGTTCATTTCATAACTTATGGTTGGAAAAAATAAGCGGCTGGAAACATGACTGATGGGAGAACTGGGGCTATTTCACGTAGTTAATGTGCTGCAAAACTTGGAGCTAAAAAAGGTGGTGACAAATGCATTCAGGGCTTTAAGGTTCATAAAAATGAGCAAAGATGTTCCTAGAAATGTTGTCCAGCTTGTGTTTTTCAGCGGAGGTCGGCTGTGACTGCAGCACTGACTATAATTTCCGTGTGAAAAACAGTGATGAGCATCCAAAAGCTGTGTGTGCGTCTTTCTCTGTACATGAAGAAGCATTCTGTCTGCAGCAGATGCTTTAACCATGGGAGGTCTGGATGAGGGGAGTATGTCGGTGTGTGCGTTTAAATGTGTGTGTGTGTGTGTGTGTTTGCTGAGACAGCTTGCAGAGGAAGCTGGCCATGTGCTGGAACACCCAGGACATGGAGGGCATTTGGCTGATTTTGGAGGTTGCCGCAATGACGTCATCAGCAATCTCACACACAGTCATTAAACCCATTAAACAAGGACACCTCAGAGGTCAGAGCAGTATGTTAGGAGTTAGTAACCCTCACTGATGGTCTCGCAGCCCAATTCTGACCGTGAACTGAGAGACTCTGATGAGGGGAAAAAAGGTGTTTAGCAAGCACATGACTTACATTTAAGAGATTAGTAATAACCGTTCAATGTTTTGTTCTTTTTCTTTCAAACAGAAAATAGCGATAAAGATCCCAACAGTTGCATAAGTTAGTTTGCAAAGTGCACACTGATAACATTTACAAATCAGTAGTGCTTCCATGTTTGTTTGAATATTATGAAAACAGCCTAACTTGTTTCTGCAATTTAACTTTTTTTTTTTTTTTAGTGTGAATGTCTGTTGAATGTTTTGTGACATTTAAAGATTTGCTGACCAAACAAGAATTAATCATCATTTGAAGTCCTAGCTCGTTAGTCTGGCTAATATTTAATAACAGGCCTTCTGCAGGCGATTAACCATTAGTGTGTCTCCTTATAGACATAATATATTAAGTAAATCTGAATGATTACTAATTGATTGTTGTTTTTAACATTATATACTTCTGTTTCTTGTTGACTCTTGTGTATGCGTGCACCTGAAGCTTGCAGGCCTCGCTTCTGTGTACTCCTTAGCAACAGGTGTCACCACAAAAACATGCCAATGGGTGTGATGTCACTTTTGGTACACGTTCCTGTTGGCTAGTGCGACAATGAACTTCCTGTAAGTGATCATAAATGACTTGTATAACCCACGTCTTATTTTTGTTTTGAGTGCTGCAAATAAACGTGATTTACACAAAGATAACCACTACACTCACATTTTTAAAAATTTCCCTGTGGCTGATTTCTCACCCAAACATAAATCATGTGCTTCCAAAAAACATGCCCTGCTTTCAGGGTTGAGGCATTAATGCACTTCTACAGGGCGACCGCAGACTCGGCTGTTAGAGACTTGAAGGTTGAGAGTTGCACCCTTGGACAGGTAAAGCAAGGCGAGAGAACGTCCCCCTTTATACAGCAGAAAGAGAGAGAGAGGGAGAGAGATGGACTGGACACTCCCCTCCTGCCGCTGGGTGAAGGGTGAGGAGTGGGTGAGTAACAGGGAGGATGGAGGGACAAAGCGGGACAGATGGATGAATGGAGGGGTTACCTTTGTTGCGATTTTCGGGGGGTCCTTGTTTTTTACCTGTTCGGACAGAGAGAGAGGGCGGAATGCTGATAAGATGGCTCAAAGGAAAAATAAGATCAAATCAAACTGAGGGACAACACAAAGTTCAAACTGATAGAAACCCACAGGTGTGTGTGTGTCGTGTGTGTGCCGTGGGCAGGAATGGACGAATCAGAGGAGAGAGACACACGACTTCCCGCTGCGGAGAACCGATGGCCAACGAAATCTAAAGTTTTAAAAATATTCATCAGAAATTTAAAATGTGGTTTAAAAGTAATCAGGCGATCGATTTATTTGTACTTTCCTGAAGCTCTGCATTACTCTGTTTCTATCATTTATTGTGAGAAGGTAGACCTTTCAGGAAGTTGTCTGTCTGTTTTTGAAATGACACTGAATTCATGTTATTGATCATTACAATACAATAACATGTAAGACCCACTAGTGTGCTCGCTTCTGTATTTCACTTCACTTTATGCAGTGTGAATTCATCTGTACCAGCACACTGTGGCCTCTTTTAAAAGGTGATGCTTCACATGGTACATAACATTGTTAATATGATACTTTATCTAAGCTTACTGAGGTTTTTGTTCATTATGTACATCGTTAAATAGACTGCATGTTGGTCTGTTCTGACACATTCTTGTAAGCTGCATTATTTTCAGATTATAAAATATAAAAATATATATATATAAAAAAATAAGTTGATATTATGGTCATTTATTTATCAGAGTGTGGATTTTTAAAATTTTTTTTACTTTAAAGTGGAACGTAATGAAAAATGTTAAGACTCAATTATTTCACACAATTATTTATGGTTGTGTGATGTGAATAATCAAATCTATGTTAGCACGTTCACCGCATTGATTTGTTTCAGTACTGCCTCAAAAGGCTGCCAGCACAGCTGCAGACGCTGTGATAAACAGTGACCACGTTTACATTTTATTTTGAAATTCGTTCCTTGTTTGAGCAGAAAGTGAGAGTTAACAGAAAGCTTTGCTTTTTAGGGCACTCCCTTTGTAGAGTGGTTGTGAGATGCTCTGACATGCATCAAAACATCATTTTATTTTTGTCTGCTGATTTTCTTGAGGTCTGATTTTTTTATGTGACTAACAATGCGTTCACTTCCTGCCAAGATGCCGTCTGTGTATCCTCATTATGTGCATGATGTTCTGTGGCGTTGGTGCCCCGAAGAGCCAGCCAAGGCAGTCTTGGAGATAATGTTCCCCTTTTATATCCCTAATGGTCCCCTTTTAGAAGACTTTTAGAGGATAGCAGTATGGCATTGATTTTTCTAATCTTTTATTGACTTTTTACTTTTGCTTTCATTTGCTGGATATGTATATTTTTGTTTATTTATTTATTTTTTCAGATTTAATCCTCAAAAAAGTATTTAGGCTTACGCGTTGCAGTTTGGGTTAGAAGCTGCATCTTTATAACAGTAACCGTGCACATGTAAAGATAATGACTTGAGAGTTACAGTCACTCTCACTAGTGCTAAAACTCAGTGTGTCAGGGAACACATGACAACGGACACTTCAAATTCAAATTCAAATTCAAATTCATGCCACATGCCAAACACATGCCAACGGACACTTTGTGTGTAAACGAGCCATTCCAGTGGCTTTGACTAAACAGCACTAATTGATGCCCTGTGGATGAAACTGGGCTGTCTGAACTGGACTGCTGAATCTCTAAAAGGGATTTTATTCACCCCAAAAATGACTGAAAAGCTAAACACATGGGCTGATGCTGTCTCTGAAATTGATCTTAACGAGGTGTCATGTACTGATTAGACACAATAAAGCACATCACAGGTGAAGTGCAGGTCAGGTACGTTTTCCTGCTCATAGGAAGTTACCTTCCTGCTGCAGTAAAACTAAGCTGTCTGCTTTTATTATGAAAGGAACTTTGGCAAGGTCAGAGCTAAACAGCGCGCGCGCGCACACACACACACACACACACACACACACACACACACACACACACACACACACACACACACACACACACCTCTTTGTTATTCAGTTGGTGGCTTGATATCGAGAGTGAACTGGTTCGAGTATGTGTGTGTATGTGTGCGTTTGCAACACTGAAGGCTTTTATCCCCGCAAGATAACTGATGGCTGTGACTTGACACGAATGCATGAATGTGTGCAGTGCATGTGTGCGTGTTTACGGCGGATTGATGCAGCCATGTGTGACAGTGAAGTCTGCTGTGTGTCTGCTGTTAAAAGAACACAAGAACCTCATGACAGTGCCTCCATGTGTGTGTGTTTGTGTGCGCGCTTCTATCTTTGCGAGGATTCACTTCCAATTTGGAAAATAAGGGCTTTTTTTTTTTTAAGTTAAGATCCCTTTTGAAAAGTCTGAAAATATCAAAGCAAGGACTTGTTCTGAAAAGTGATGACACTTCTCACTTCAAAGACTTTCTGAGGGTTTGTGCTTTGTTTCAGCATAAGGATTAGTAACACATTTTAAGATTAAGATTAAAGCTTTGACAATGTAAACATGGAAGTAACGGCCTGTGTATGAGATGTAAATGTAAAGGCTCTTTTCTTTAAAATTTAGAATTTACTTTTAGCTGAATCTGTTTTGTGGTTCTCCTCATTAGGAAGCCAGCACCAATTTTGTTTTTGTCTGTTTGTCTGTATTTTTTATGAACCAGAAACTGGAGGCCGAAATGCAAACCTGAGCGTCTCTCTCCGCTGAGCTGGTACATTCAGCCAGTTCACAATGAATGCCTGACAAACTCAAACTTTAGCCAGTAAAACAAAATGATAAGACAAAAACAAACTAAAGGAAAAGGATACATGTGTAAAAGGGGGTTAGCATGATCACAAGCAAATCAAAAGCAATAGAGACCGACTGCAGAAGCCTGTTGTTTTACATCTGCTCTGACATAGTACAAAGATCATCTGGACGTTGGCTTTTGAAGGGTCCCTCTATAAAAGAAGCAACTGTGTTTCACAGTTAATTGATATTACGTAACTGGCCAATTTACTCAGTACTGTGGCCATGAATTTACATGAATAAATGAGACCACGATGAGGTGTTTGCTCAGGTGACCAATCAATCTGTCTTAGAGTCTTTGTGAAATCACAGTTCAAAGTGTTGCTTTACTGAAATATTAACAAAGATTGTTTGCAAGCCCACGACAGAGAACAAAAGTTTAAATGGCCTATCAAGATTCCCATCAAGCACTTAAACATAACAACTGAATAATGTTAAAAATTCAAGTATTTTTTAAAATTTTACATCTGGGGTGTCAAGCTCATTTTAGCTCGTAGGCCACATACAGCTTGATTTGATCTTAAGTGGGCAATTGCAAACCATTGCATAACAACCCCTAAAGTGCTCCCTTTCTTTTAGTGTACAGAAGTACATTCTGCACACTTTCCTGTTTAATGAACCATCCACTTACAAATGACAGCTTGACGTGACTGAAAGTGAACCTATTGTGCTTTTTTGAAAATATTTTCTGCCATATGTCACATAATGGTGGATTCTCTTATTAAACATGGCAAAAGTTTCAAATAAAGAGGTCAGTATATCCTTGAGTAATTTCTGTGAGCCAAAAGTTCAGGCTGCAGTGTGCTCTGAATGCTTGATTTCATTTTTTCTACTTTTGGATCTGTATGATGTGAATAAGAGAAGATATATATAATATGGTCACCTCAGGCACACAGCTCCACCTGTGAGCACGGAAGCCCCACCTACCCGCTATTCAAACCTGTTCAATGAGCAGCCAATCAGATGGAGTAGCTAAAACAGCTTGTTTGAACTGAGGTGCTGCACCAAGGACCATTAAAATATCAATAAGCGTTATCTTCTAACTGAATCATGCAAAGCTATTTTGAGTCCAAGAATTATGTCTGACTCCTCAACAGCCTCCAAACTCTGGAGATTCATCTAGTGGGCAGCACTGAGTCCTTTGAAGGACTGGGGCTGTCTGCTTAACTTACAGAATGAAGTAGGCTATAATGATCCATGGATATAATAGCCATTTATCCCCTTAAGGATACATGGTCACATGCATTTCTTTGAAATGTAGCTTTGGGTACAACCATAGACTGTATATAAAAGAAGGACAGAGCAGAAAAGTGCAGCTAGTGCAGCATTTTTCAAATGTCCAGCAAGAGGTGACTGTTTGCAGACGTCTAGGAAGTACTTGTCCTCAGTACTTGTCTGATGAAGCACATTTAACATTTCTAGCCTATGACATCGCGATATGTTTCTGAATCAGCTCCACCTCACATCATATCCTGTTTGTAATCACCAAGATTGTCATACCAAAAAAGGTCAGCTCAAGACTTCAAAACAGGACTTTGCTAATTCATCTTTTATATACAGTTTAAGCTAATTACCTGGTCATAGCAAATGAACTATAATCTTACAAACTCTTTGGAATCGGTCACTAAAAAGGTGTGCATGCCACTTTAAAATTACGATAAGCTAAGTTTGGTAAGATTGTGGGAGCTCCTTTGTAGACGTCACTTTTATTTCACTTGTTTTGGGCCGGTACAATCACAATATTACTCATCTTTGGTCTCGTGTATTCACTATGGAAGGTTTTTGTGCTTAGATTGAAGTTAAATTAAGCTTACAGATCACATTCAGACCCTTCAAAAAGCTCTGCTGTTATCAGCTCAGACTGGATGAACTCTACCTGCTGACAGAGTCGGCTGGTACGACAGGAGAAACGTCAAATCAACACCAGCTGATAAAAACGGGCAAAATATTTCCGATCAGCCTGTTCAGAAATATTCAGAAGCTGACACGGTGACAGTCGTTCTAGCCAAACTTTCCTCACACTTCACAGACTTACTGTCCTCGTATGACCTTCCACACTTCAACATATGTTGTGTTTCTTGACATGTGTGACAGGCTCTGTCTCATGTCTTACTTTTCTTGACCTTCTTCTCTTCGTCGTTCTCGCTGGCGCCCAGCAGAGTAAAGATGATGCCTGTTTGAGAGTTGAGGCCGACAGCTGACACCACCATCCTGCCTGATCCCTCCATCACGTGGGTCCCTGAGGAAATATTCAAAAAGCTACGAGTCAAAAAAGAAGCTTTATTTATTTATTTTTTAAAACTGTTACTGTGTTACTGTCATTTGTTTTCATTTTAAATCAATGTCAAAGCACTTATTTATCCATCTAATCTCATTTTAAGACGCATTACTGAATATTTAAAATGACATGCTTTTACTTAGGTTGCTTTTTTTCTAGGTAAATAGTCTTGCACTCCTGTGTAGCCCTACTCTGCATCCAGATATCCTTCTGAATCAAGGGATTGAATTCATACATGGGAAATTTTAGCTTTGGCGGGGTCTCAGACAGCTCTTGTGTTATAAGCAGGACATCAATCTTTCAGTCAAACACCGTGAACCTGATTTTTTTAGGAGAACAGTTTTCCAGGCACTCACCGGACAGCAGCATGGGGTCTTTCTCCATAGACTTGCGAACCTGGTCAGATTCTCCTGTCAGAGAGCTCTCGTCAATCTTCAGGTCGTTGCCTTGGATCAGGATACCATCAGCAGGCAGCAGGTCTCCTGCAAGCAGATCGATCAGATAGGTCAGAATCTTTTTCCCCCATCAGCCACAGGGTTTGAACAGGATCCAGTCCTTTTAAATTTAAATTTTGTATTGTAAAGCAGCTCCACAAAGGTTGTTGCTGTAGTCATAAAAGCTTGACAGTTAAACATCACATGAAATAACCAATAACAATGTTTGCGTTTCATACCGTATTTGATCTGAGCGATGTCTCCAACCACGATCTCGGCCACAGGGATCTGGATGACCTGACCTTTGCGGATGACCGTGAACTTTTGTTCTTGCTCGATGCGACTCTGCAGCCCGCGGAATTGCTTCTCCTTGGACCAATCGTTGAAGGCCGTCACCAGGACCACAATGATGACTGAGAACAAGATGGCAGCGCCTTCGATCCAGCCAGCCTGGGCCTCGCCCTCGTCCTCTACGCCACCCGAAGTTGCGCCGCATGCTGTGACAACATGAGGACATGTTGAAATCAAATCCCATCATAACAGCAAAGACAGATGGCGAGATGGAGAGCTCTTATTGGAAAGGTTAGGCAATAATGGCTGACTGTGTAATGATTTAATGAACAGGTAAGGCAAGAAGCTCTAAGCTGTGATGGGGTTTAACCCTCTCAAGCCCGAATTAAGTTTTTTGTTGCTAATGCACAACCAAGTCCTGCAGTGGTACTTCTGAGTAAAAAAACCTCATAAAATATGTATGTGGGTTAATCAGGTTGTTATGTCTTAACTGTTGCAAATCTGCAACGTCTGCCTGGAGAGGGTTAAGATGACATATGGTATTGTATTGTGCATTTAAAGTGGGAATCCTGAAATTCCAAGTTTCCAGTTGCAATTTTCATCTGGATGCTCTCTCAAGTCAGACTTTCTACTTAGAATTTGGAGACGCAACAAAAAACCCACATCTGAATTCTTAAATTGCTGTGACAACCATAGACCAGTGGAATATGCTCCACTCAGGCATAACATCATCACATTATAATTTTTTCTCTTTTGGATTTTTATTAAGGCACAAAACACAACATTGCACAACAACTGTATCTCAGTTATCCTGCTTTAATAATTGTAAAATCATTAAAATTTAATTAATTGCTCAGCTGTCTTTCAAATTAGCAAAAAGCAAAAATGACCTGTATCCTTCAGTCAGGAATACTGTCAAAAGCTAAACAAAAACTTTACTTAAACAACTTTATTTACAGTACATATAATATATACATCCCCATATAAATAATAATATAAATTAAAATATAAACCAACTACCTACATATATCAGAATACTGAAAATAAATAATAATAATTAATAAATACATGTTACTTTTGGAATAGATGCAGTAATTGTGGGACGTGCAAAGGTTTGGGCTTTCAGTAACCCCTATGGGATTATCACAGCTTGGAAAACCTTAACCTTTAATCAGCTGAAAAAGTTTCTTCTCCTAATTTGTCATCTTTCAGAAATTCGTGACTAGCAGATAATTTCCTGTTTCTAGATATTTTTAGACTACCTTGCATGCAAAGCATCTTCACAATCCACAAACATACAGCTCCCTTTTTCAGCAAACAGAGCTTTGATAATTAAGGCCAACAAAACATATTTTATCTCAGTCTGCACACAGCAGCTGTTACTCTGATCCAAATGCTGCTTTGCTGACCACACAGACTGACTTTTGTGACGCAGCAGCAGGTGAGGTTTTTCCTTTGATGTGGGCCCTGATTGTGAATGAACCCCACGCAGCGAAACAGTGCAGCATCACTTCTGTGTCAGCTAAACATTCCCGTTGCTGCTCCTCTGCAGACATCTTGTTTCGATTCCTGGCGCTCCCATCAACCACCACTACTGAATGACATTTTAGACAGCAAGCTGGAAGTGCTCTGATTTCCTTTTATAGCCTTCCCTGCTTCGTAGGCATCAGCTTCATTTTCAGATTCTCACTCACTTGATTAGAGGAGCCCGTGAATGTGTGAGTGTTACCACGAGGCTTAAAGACTCAGATAATTTATCAGGCTCTGAATTGTCATCAAGTGACAATTCCTGATGGCAGTTCTTAACCTCTCTTAGCCAACTCAATTAAGGCTCACCGAGCTAATGAAGTTCTTGCCACAATTATTGTTTCATTATTTGCATGACATAAAACGTATCTGCGTGTAAACACTTGAAGAAAGTCACGTTTAGATGTTTGTTTTCTGCACCACTTTATTTTCTTACTTCATTTTCATGCAAAAATTGACAGTAATGGAAACTAGCCCAGTAACTACTGACATTTTTAAACAAATCAATGATCAGATTTCTTGTTTTATAAAAGTGGATTACGTAAAAATGAAAGTAAATAAATCCACTTATAATTTACCCAGAAAAACATACCTGATAAAAGCATGTAATTAAAATAAACAACATGGATATAGAAAAAAAATACAGGTGGCCGCTGGTGCTACCCGTCACCCCCTTAGTAGATACATGTATGGTATTCATTTGAAACTCCCATGTCGCCTTCTTTCACAAGATTTCACAAACTTGAGTGTCCACATCAAGTTCTAGTATTTTATAACAGTGCTCTAATTAATCTGCATCTGTGCATGACACCCATTCAGCTGTGACCAACCCACAGAGGTGGGACCAAGTCATTGTTTTGCAAGTCTCAAGTAAGTCTCAAGTCTTTATCCTCAAGTCTCAAGTCAAGTCTCAAGTAATGTCAGGCAAGTCAGAGTCGAGTCTCAAGTCACTGGTGTAAAAGTCCGAGTCAAGTCACAAGTCTGAAACTTTGAATTTCAAGTCCTTTCGAGTCTTTAAAAAAAACAAACGAAAAAATAATGTTGCAGTTATATGCTAAATGTAAATATTAGACCATGTAATTTTAAAATCTGTGTTTTTCTCAACACATACAAAATAGTGAACTTAGAAAATATACACAAATTGTGAAATTGCACCTCTTTAAAATGCAGCTCAATTAAACTTAGCTCCAAGAATAATTTTCACCGACAGTTCTGAGATAAGCTGCATGTTATTCTTGGATGCGGTTGTAGGACCAGCTTTAAAATCGCATGACAAAAATATCATACACATTAAAAAAAACTATCACCAACGTAGCCTGGAAAACATTTGCTAGTTAGATGAAGTCAGCTATCTCATCTTAGCATATTTATATGCATATTTATAATCATACGGTTCTTGGAGTGAGTGCATACACTCATGAAGTTTAGTAACTTCAGGTCACTGCAACAAGCCCAGGTACAGTTTACCGACGGATGGGTACAGGACCTTGAAATGCACCGTGTAGAACGAAAGACCATCGTACGTATCATAAGTTTACCAGTCTCACAAATCGTCGTCATAAATACACATTCGTTAACCGTTTATTAATAGGACCTTTGAGCTCAACGGTAATTAATTAGTAGTGGAAATAATTTCTGGTAGCATCACAGAAATGTAGCAGTGACAATAATATTGTATGCTGTAATCCTACTGTGCAATTAGTGATACAAAACAACTGTTTTATCCTGTGAATAAAAGTATGTGTTTTTGTCAGTGTACCATAATAACAGAAGCGAAACGCAATATTGTGTCAGGATAATTTACTATTTATGCACAATAAATAAAGGAGCATAGCGCGACAATTTCTGTTCAGCGCCAGACTTGCTTGTAACCTATATCACCAATTATGTTAAGAAAAATGACGCATTAACTACAACAGCAGACTGACCTTTGTGTAAATGCTTGGAGCAGACTAACCTGTGAGCTGGAGTGTTCTGGGACGTTATATTTGACCTTTGAATGGCTGCAATCCAGGCCACCCGTCGCGTCTTTGTTACTTCGGAAACATGGCTCGAACAATTTCTCTTCAACGACGTAATCCGATAACAACCGATCTCTTTACCCGTCGGCTTCCCGTGGCTGTCATGCGACCGGCTATTGCAGTTAATAATACAACAGCTTCTTGACATTTTTGTGTTTCTTTTTATCGCTGTGTGACTGATTTTAATTGAAAGCCTGCGTGCGCTAGTACCGCTTGCCACGAGTTCCCAGAATCCTTTGCGGTTCTACCCGTGAATAACGTCACATTTTCAATCTCCATATAATATGCATGTTAAATTTTATATTTGGGGTAAAATATCAAGTCTTTTCAAGTAAACCGGTTCAAGTCCAATTCAAGTCCCAAGTCATTGGTGTAAAAGTCCAAGTCAAGTCACAAGTCTTAGAACATTTTTTCAAGTCAAGTCTAAAGTCATAAAATTAATGACTCGAGTCTGACTCGAGTCCAAGTCATGTGACTCGAGTCCACACCTCTGCCAACCCAACCAGTCACCTGATTGCTGGGCTTGCCTTTTTCAGGTGTTTAACCCATGTTGCCTTCCACCTCACAAAGGAAATGATTTCTCTTCCTGGGAGTCTAATAAAACGGTGGTTTTCTCCTCCAAGTTAGCTTCACTTGCTTTGGTTAATGTTGGAGTTCCCTCTATTTTAAGCCACGGGTAGTTTTGTCTTAGCAGTTATTTCATTTCTTAATTAATTTAACTTAATTCGTTTAAAATAATAAAATTATCCAGAGAAAAACTCCAAAAACCAGACGACACGCTGCAAACAAGCGCTTGGCGACAGTGGGAAGGAAAACTCCACTGGAGAAACAACCCTCTTTGTTATGTCTATGTGTGCAGCTTGGTATACTGATAACTTAGCACTGCCACCTCTCCATATATGTTCATCTCTGGCTCTGAAAAACCACCAGCTGGCAGCAGCTAAAATGCTCAGGTTGAGTCTTCAGTGTACCGAAAGCAATGGGTAAAGACACAGCGTCTACGACGATCTACACTGACCTTCACTGTCACCGCCAGGTGGATGGTAGAAAGACAGACCCAGTGAGATGATTGCAGCGATTTCCAGAATGATAAGCGTGACGTCCTGCAGAGCTTCCCACACCAGCTGCAGGAATGTCTTGGGCTTCTTTGGGGGGATAAAGTTCTGTCCAAATGCCGTGTGACGTTTTTCCAAATCGACAGGGTTACCAGACAGACCTGCAGACACAACCGAAAGGTCATGAATATTGACATCAACATTAGTTATTGTTCTTTAGTAAAACAGTAATTATTTTGACATGTGGATGGAAACTTGGAGAAATGTCAAATGAATCCAGCAACATGACAAAGAGTGCAGACATACAGACACAGTTACAAAGAACAAGGACTTTTCTATATCAATTTATTTTAGTTTTTGCACTTTTTTTTTAAGGCTTGGGTTTTATTTTATTTCTGTTAACTGAAATTATTTAATATTTTAAAGAACTGTGCAGAGATATACCTTTACTCCGTTTTCAGTATTTCTGTGACGTCTCTCTGTGTGTACCTGTGTTGCAGGTGAATGAGTGTTGCAGTCAGACTGAAGTGTGTTGCTGTGTTAATATTTAGTTAGAGCAATGCTGTTTATAGTGCTAAAGTTCACCGGCCCTAAATATCTCAATGAATTTGAAATATAACTATTACAATCTTGTTCTGCAAGACATGCTTTTTCCACCACAGCTTATCAGCAGCAGCAATAGCAGCTGTGTATAAGGGTCAAAGGCTAACTCCTGTCTTCAAACTTTATTATGTTAACTCACCACACAGGGCAGAAGATGTACTTTAGTAATAGAAAGTCACGATCAGCCCCCTTTTGCTGCAGACTGCAGCATTTCCACACACAGTACTTATTTGAGCAATTCACCAAAACAGACCTGTTCCACCCAGAAACCATCTGCAATGACATACTCATCATTTCCGCCACAAAAAAAATGACCTAAAGGTCAGAAATCTGGTACACTCAGGTTCAGCTACAAAGATTGGAAAAATAATTCCCCTGATCAAGGGTGAATTATAAGCAGCTGTGATGGGTGTGTTGTTTTATAAGTTTCAGTGACGATTCCTGAACGTTTCTTTTTGTTTCGCTTTGTTTTGTAACAGCGGCTGAACTTTTGTGGCTTGCGACCTCTAAAACAACCCTTCATTCAAAGTTACAACCGTCTACGGGCTGCAATTAGTTCAACCAAAGAGAAATGATGTAATTAACTTTTAGAGGGTGATGAACTGAAAATCACAGGAAACCTAAATATTAGCGGAAAGCAGAAAGAAAGCAGTCATCCTGCCAGCCTTCAGCTTTATTCTGTGGCCCCTCGTGTTGATCACAGTCACCGGGTCAGGGGCCTCCACTGTGTGTGTGTGTGTGTGTGTGTGTGTGTGTGTGTGTGTGTGTGTGTGTGTGTGTGTGCGGCAGCGATGAAACCAAAGCAGCCTGAACTGACCCAAGTTCCCCTCCCGCTGAACACGCAATCTGCTGCTCCACCAGAGCCAATCTGCTCCACGTCAACACAGCACCACCCGTTCAGACCAGCCCAGTCGCTCACAGGAAACTAATGAACCATCCCGCTAATCAAATTTGAAATCTAAATGAACAAATTGACAGATGATACACATTTTATACTGCAGCAATCATGATTTAAGGCTTATCAAAACCTTAAACTAAAGCTGGAGCCTGTCCCAGCCGACACTGGGCAAGAGGCAGCAGACTGTGGATAAGTTGGCAGTCAACCGCATGTCTAGAATCATCAATTAACCTGACAGGGAGAGCACGCAAACACAAGTTACAGTCTCGGTCGTTGTGTCCTTGGGCAAGACCCGTTGTCTACTGGTGGTGGTCAGAGGGCCTGGTGGCGCCGGTGTCTGGCAGCCTCGCCTCTGTCAGTGCGCCCCAGGGTGGCTGTAGCTAAGATGTAGCTTGCCATCATCAGTGTGTGTGAATGGGTGGATGACTGGATGTGTAAAGCGCTTTGGGGTCCTTAGGGACTAGTAAAGCGCTATACAAATACAGGCCATTTACCATTCAACCAGTTTAAGGTGAAAAAACTACTGGTGGACTAAAGTGGCTGGGTTTTTGTGTCTAAAGGGGCGTTCCAACAGGAAGAGACTGACCAGACCATTAAAGGTCCACAAATTTCAGCAAATTTTGAGATTAGCACCTGAAACAACTACCAATGAGAGCGAAGGATAATACTGACTGAACTTGTTAAATCTCTCCAAAGAGTCCTGGGTCTACCCTGGGGCTTTCTTCCGGTAAGACAGGCTCAGAATACCTCACCTAGAAGCCATCCTGGAGGCCTCCTAGTCAAATGTCTGAATCACCTCAACTGGCTCCTTTTGATGTGGAGGAGCAGCAGCTGCACGCCGAGGCCCTCTCGAATGGCTCCACACCCCATCTCTAAGGGAGAAGGAAACCCATTGTTGCCGCTTGTAATGGGTGGCAGTCAGAGGCGGAGGAATGTACAAGGAATGTCATCTTGCTTTACAGGAACATTTGCTCTATGTTGCAGTGTAAATGTTTATTCAGCACTGTTTTCTAGAAGGACTTTTCATAACGTTCCCCTCAAAACAGTCTGAAAACACCTTCTGTAACTGCAGTCAAACCTCACCTTACTTAACCTTATTGTTTAAGAGTAAAACACTTTCCTTAAACACACCATTAGAACTTGCAGATGGTGTTTGCTATTTTTGTGGAAGCATCCCTTCTAGCAGAGTTGCATCAAATTTCTGCTAATGTCAGTCACTGGATTTCTCCAACTAATCAATGAGTTCACCGAATTGAAAAATGGCAATGTTTCTCCTCTTATCACTCTGCAGAGATTGCTCCCAAACCTCTGCTTACCGAGGAACAAACAATATCACTGAGTTATTGATTCCAGAACTGTGACTGTCATTTTCCAGCCGTGGCTCATATCTCGCTGCTCATTCATTCTCCATATAAAGATAGTACAAACAAAAAGATTTCCCAGTCGACCCAGATGCTCAGAAAGACGGAGACACCAGGGCTTCATCCATCTTCAGAGCTCCTTACTTGTGGTTTTATTGAAACTGGGCTTAAATTAGATTTTAAAAACACCAACTGCAGTTTGCTAACTAAAAATGGATAATCAGCAGCTTGTTTCTGTATTGATTTTCATTCACCGGAAGAATCTCAACAGTTAGCTCTTTAAAATCACGTGTTCTCGTTAACTTTAACTGGTGTTTGCTGCAACTTTAATGACACACACATACAACTGAATGGAAAAATAGTGTAACCACTTGTTTAATTATGTATTTTCCCACTAAAGTCTGATCATCAAAGACGTCCTCCTCATGGTCACGCGGGCACCAACATGGCTGCTGGGGATTCTTAGAGAAATCGGGAGGTATGCAGTGGAACGTGATCTGAATGTTAACAGACCCCACTGCCAGGATCTCTCATGAAGACAGCCTCCAAGTCAGCATGAACATGAGCTCAGCCATGTCTCTGCCGTCACATGTTTTAATAACGGACTCTTATTCTCGCTCTCTCTGATGATGCTGTCCAGACGGACCGAAAAAAAAAGAGTTCCTCCTCTCCTCGTGAATTCTCCCCCGTCTGTCACACTCCTCTTTGGATGCAGTAATGAGGTGAAACTATGAGACACTAGCTTCTGCCATTTTGAGGGTTTGCCTACACACAGCACACACAGATGTACTAGTTTCATGCCATCTAATCTTAATTGGACAGCTTCAGCGGCAGAAATATTCCACATCAAGGCTGACCGAGATAAGGTGAGAGATTAGATGTGGTAAAGGAGAGATGAGAGGAGGGCAAATAAGGTGAGGGAAGAAGAGATGGGGTGTGGATGGTGTAATGATATAAGGTTAGACGGAATAAAATAAGGAGAAAGGACACAACGAGAGATAAGAAGAGACAAGTTGAGATTAAATAAGTTCAGTGAGATCAATGAGATGTGAGGCAGCTTAAGACAGTAGAGGTGAAATGTGATTAAAGAAAATTAAAGTAAGGTGATCCTACGGCATATTCACACCAAACCCAATCAAAACCTATGCAAAGACACAAAGTAGGGGATGTGCGTAGAAGTGAATCTGTGTGTGGATGTTAAATATATCACATTTTCACTCTGTGTCTCAAAAATCTATCAGCAGACACTGGCTGTCCCACAGACAGTGGATGCTCCTGAGCCCACTGACAGTACAAGTATCTGTAGCTAAACTCATCGTTTCCAACAGGTCAGAGAATGACTGCGATCTGGTAGTGAATCAACTAAGTGAGCTGACTTTATACTATCATACCTTAAATAGCATGAGCTAATTCTGAATCAAGTAAGCTGATCTGAAAACATAAACTTTGACAATTAAAAAAATATTTGAATATTAACTCATTCACTGCCAGCCATTGGCAGTGAATGAGTTAAACCCATTGACTCATTCACTGCAATTGACGGCTATAGACGTCAATGGCAGTGAATGAGTTAATATTAATACTAACAAATTGTAAATTGTTATCATTGGACTCACGCTTTGCATAATTCACGGTTCAAAATCACCCTTTTTTTAAATCTCCATCAGCTTCGGTACTAGGGCTGGGCGATATATCGAGTTTTTAAAAAATATCGATATATTTTCATACGAGATATAAGATGTGACAATATCGTTTATATCGATATAGTCTATGTTACGTTATAATTATACTCGTGGAGCCGCAGGTTTGCCTCTCTTTCGTCCACTTTTGTCTCTACGCAACGTTACTCGGCCTTGCCTCTCCTTCACTGAACACAACTCCGCCTCCCCCATAGCTTCACCTGCAGGCAATGACAAGATGAAAGCGGAAAATCTCCGTTAGCGAGTTACCGTGCGTGGGGCTGGACGACGTCAACGTGTTAGCGAGCTAACCGCGCTAACGAGCTAACCGCGCTAACGACATGCAGCCCGGAGGGGCTGCACGGCCTAAAATCCTTTCATTTTCTCAAAACTTGACAGTGCGCCTTATGTATGAATTCTGGTTGTGGTTACTGACCGCAAACCGATTTTATGTGGTACACAGCGCTCAGCAATCTGTCAAAAAATGTTTTAATATGACTTTGCTAAGCTACGGAGCTGCACCGCTTGATGGATTGTCTTGGAGGATTACGGCTACAGAGGAGGAGCCTCGCGGAGTGATACGTACTGTTCTTCAACGTAATATTACCGTACTGTGTGTG